ATTCTGGGGTGGTTTTTCTTCTTCTATCCAAACTCTTTATTGAGAGTTCTAGAATGATCACAACCATCAGAGCTTTAAAAACTACGATTTTACTCCAAACACCTTTTTAATCAAATAACACACGCACTAACTACAAACACAAAAACTACTTAGCAACAATTCAAACAGGAAAAAGGCTTGTTTTGCCCAACAGAACTCAAGAGCTACAAGTAAACACAAAATAAAGCAAACAGCCCACAAGAGCTCAGCTCTAAATCCACATTATGAACACTGACTGGAGTGAGTCCCAGCACAGCCCTGGGCCTGGGCCCAGCACTGAGGCAGCACAATTCCACCTGCCCTGCACACCTGAGGCTGCCATTCACTCACTGCTCTAAGTTTACTCATTTCTGTGTCACTTACAGACCACAACAGATCAGTCTTAGAAAATAAAGCTAAAAAAAAACCGAATCCCCTCTGACTGCTTTTGGTGCAGGATGAAGAGCTGTTATCTACAGCATTTCAATTCCTCCAAACTTGCGTTCTGAAACGCAGACAATCTACAAACATTTAATTGTTAACACCAGAACTACTTAACAATTTATAACGACATAATGGAACTTAATACATTCCAAGATGTACAAGAGCAGCCCAACTTTTAAAAAAGCACAAAACAGCCTCTCAGGGGCGGCTTTTGGGCTTCTTTTCTCCTGCTATAGACAGTCAAGAAGCAGCACAAGGACAAGCAGCGTTTCCTTTTATAACACTTCTTAGTTTCTGGCTGCACAGCCCAGTTCCCTCTTTTCTTTCACTTCTGCGAAGTGTTAAAGTGGAATCGCGGCCGTCATCGGGCGGCGTTAAGAATTCTCCCATTTCTCAACCTCGAGGACCTCCGCACACCAACCGCAGGCACTACGGGCTGTCACTGCCCTACAGCCCCAAACAAAGCCGCCCGGCAACCCCGCAAAGAGAAAGAGGCCCTCTCGGAAAGGAGCCGCTTTCTGTCAGAAAGAAATCCAGCTCCGCTTTCAGAGCGCTCAACTCCTCGCAACCAAAGAGAACGCGGAGGCGCGTTCGTTTCAACAAGAAAACAAACCGAAATCCTTCCACCCCGGCAGCGCTCCTCGCTCCGTATCGCGACTATCGGGACAGCACGGCGATATCGCGACTATCGCGACAGCCCCGCTCCCGCAGGCCCCGCCGCCCTGGCCCAGCGCTTCCCCTCTCGCTCCGCTCCCGCCCGCCCCTTCCGCGCTCCCCCCGGTGGCGGCGCCGCCTCACCCCGCCCCCCCCCCGGCACCCCGCGGCGCGGCCTCACCTGGGCCTCGATGGGGCCTGCAGGGCCCTGTCCTGCTCCCGGAGCGCCTTGGGCCTGGCCGGGCCCCGCCTGCCCGGCTCCGGGCGGGGTTTGGGTCTGGCTGGGGAGGGTGAAGTCGGTGAACTCGAACTCGGAGCCCTGCGTGTCGGCGCCGAGCAGCTCGGCCTCCTCCGTGTCCAGGAAGGTGAGGGTCTGCGAGCTGGGGCCGTACGCTTCCACGCTCATGGCGGCGGCGGTGGAGAAGAGAAGCGGCGCTTCCGCGCGCTCCCCCCGCCTCGGCCGGGCCGCGCCTCACGGAGCCCGGGCGCCGCGCTACGCTAGCGGCGGGATCCGCCGCGCACACCAGGCCGCGCCCCCGAGAACCGACCGCCGACGAGACCCCCGCTGCCCCGCTCGGGCGGCCCCGAACGCGGCCGGACCGACGGCGGAAGGAGCCGGAGCCGGGGAACGGAACCGAGAGCCCCGAGACGCCGCGAAAGGAACCGTCCGGCCGCCGCGCGCCAGGCCAGCAGCGGTGACGCGGAGCGCACGGCGGACGCCAGCACGGCCCGTGCGCGTGGGCGGGTGACGCAGCACGCACACCTGGGAGGGCACGGCGGGAGGGGGCGGGGCTGCGCGCGGAAGGCGCGAAGGAGCGCGCGGCGCGAACCGCCTGAAGAGGGGAGGAGGGGGGGAGAACGAGGGACGCGTTAGGGGCGCTGTCCGTTCGCGCCTAAAGGAGGGGTTAAACGCCCCTCTCCCCGACAGGGCTCTCTCGCGAGGGGGGCGGAGCCTGATCGCTGACTGACTGCTGCCACAGCCAATGAGCCCTCGAGCTGAGGAGGAAGGGCGGGCTGTGGCGGCAGAAGGGCCAGTGGCGGCGCGCGGTGGAGGGCCGGGGGTGTTTGTGAGGGGAGCGGGGCTGTGTGGAGCCCTTCTTGCCCTTACTGGTGCTCCTGCAGTCTGCCCGCCTCTGTGGAAGTGCGGTGTCTGTGGTGATGGAGGCATAGCCGGGGCCTGCAGCGTTCTGAGGCAGGTGATAAGAAGGCTCTGGTGTCACAGTAATGCTAGCTGTAAAACCCATCAAAGCTGCACTGCCCTATGTGACTGGTAATGGAGGGCTGAACTGTCATAGGGGGAGCTGGGCGGCCTGTGGAGGTTCTGTGTGTTGTGTGGGGGTGGGCATTCAGTCCGTAAATAAAGCTGGTTTGGGGGTTGGCTTCAATTATCACCAAACTCATCTCTTTTGAGATAACTCCCAGGCGTTGTGAGAAGCACTGGCAGGAAAAGCCGGTGCTGGTTCTGTTTTCCCCACTGAAGCCTTCAGCCATAACATGCACATGAATATTGGCTTTTTAAGTAACTTTAATTTTATTCTTGCTTTTGGTGTAGGGTAAAGCTTGGAATGGAAACGTCTGCCGCATTTGCAGCTTTTAAGCTGAAAAGGTTTAAATGAAGATTGGAAAGGATCTCAATGCACCAAGAACAGGAGGGGGAAATGAAGATGGAGAGAGAATACAGGAGTCACTGCATCTACTCATGGTTTGTGTTTGTGTTGAGCTTTAAGCTATGAAGGGGCAGACTTACCAGTAGGTTATCGTAGATGTAGCTTAATTTAAAGTAGGCTAATTAAGCAAAAAAAAAGATAGAATGGAAATTTGGTTGTGAGGTTATGACTGCCGTGTTAGCTACAGTTTAACGTGGTGACATCAAGGTAAGTCAGCATACACTCATATGTAATTTCATACATTATGTTGAGACTTTTGATTCCTCAAGTTGAATCACAGCTACATTAAACCCACTTGTAGTCTGACTGGAAAGCATCCACAGGTGAATTGATACTTCCTTAAAACCATCTGGAAATTATTTGTTTTGTAATTCAGAGGGCAGCATAACTGAAAAAAAAAAACAGGAAGGAAATGAGATCTATTTTGAAGATTGCATTTATAAAACCAGGTAGGTTGTTTTGTATGGACACATATTTATGAATAAACAGACCATTCTTTCAACGTTTGTCCAGTTTACAGAATCATCAGAAGGTTTGGAAAGCAAAGCTTTGATGCGCTACTGTATTTTTTTTCCCTCCCCCTACATAAGACAGAAAATAAGAATGCTTTTAAAGAGAAAGAAAACTCATTGAAGACTGCAGACGCCGTTGTCCCTGTGCTAACAGAAGGTTATTTTGGCTTCTGCTGCGCTGAGGGGAGGATCGTGCTGCTGTCTGAGGTGCTGAAGCCAGAGGGCTGCCAGGGGGTCCTGGAGATCCCCACGTGCCCACGGTGTGCCTGGTGCCCCTGCTACACAAGTCAAAACTACACCCACCGTGATTTGAGTGTGGGAAGACCGTAGTTCACGTGGATGTGTTTGACGAGGGGTTTAAGTGGCAATCAGTTGTGGCCATTGGGCTCTTGGTTAAAATAGGGAGACTGTAATCAGTCTTTACACCAGCACAGAGGCGTGGCTTGCGAGAAAGATACATGTGAATTTTGTGACATTAATGCTTAATGGTAGGCCACTGCATTCTGGAAATTCTTTGAAGGACTTTGGTATATTTGAAGATGAGCACGTGTGCAGTCTACACTGCAATGCTTCCTGGATGATATTCTATTTGTGTAAGCATTATTTTGTGAAAGTTTTGCCTTTAAATCCGGGCTAATGCAAAGAGGTGCCACTTGGACTCGTTGGTCTTTATTGCTGTGCATCCAATATGAAATTCAGAAGGGTAACACACTAAAAACAGGAGCACGTTGTCTGAGAATGATGGTGCTCCAACATTTTTATTCATGATTAGAATCTAGAATTCACAGGACATGCTTAGCCATAAGAAGCTGTTCAAGAGAACTAATGTGAGTGAATTCAGTTTGGTAGAAAGATTCTTTCTGCTTGCTTGCATGAGATTGCAAGTTTAAGGTGGTTATCTTGAAGAGGTGATAATAAAGGTTCCTGATGATGTAAGCGTGAAACGGAAGCATGCAGCAGTTTAGCTGTTGATAGAAATAATGCATTCGTGACTCAAAATAGTTGGCTGTGCCTGAAAATTCTCCTTGAGATTAATTTCCATTCCACCACACGCTATCGCTGGGATTTGATAACATCCTCCATCCAGGACTGCACAAGAGAAGTCTGAAATCAAGCTGTGATGAAAAGGAACGAACTGATTGGTCTCTGCAAGCTCCGAGCCATGGAGATAGAGTTAGAAAGTGTCATGATGACGTGAAGGGTTGAAAGCCAATCGAATGGAGCGTGAGGGATCTGCCAAACTGCTATTTCAGATGGCAGAGCCAGCTAAAGAAACCGTGTATTTTTATCCTGGGAGACCACAGTTCAGATTAGGGGAAAATAAGCATGAAGTTGAAATCAGATTTTCTTGGCACAGCACTTCAGGAGTGCTTGCACATTAACGTGTGATGATATTGTCTCTATAATAAGTTCCGTGGTTGTGCAATATGTTAACATGTTGTAAAATGAGAAATACAACCCATTAATTTATTATGCCTATTTAATCACTTTATCTTCGTGCCTACTCTGTTATTTCCACACACCTGCTTTTTCACATCATTTTCTGTTTAATGTTCAGTAGCTTGCATTGTTTTAAAGGTTCTTAATTTTCTGTCTGCTTTTTCCTTTTGCTTTCCTCTTTTCTAGGTCTTCAGATGAAAATCCCGTGCAGTTTTACTTAGGTTATCAATCTTTTGTTTTTTAAAAATGCACCAGAAACGCAGCAGCAAAGCACAGATCCTTGAAGGCTGTGAATTCGCCGTTCCATTGCAGATGTTACAGTTCTGCTCGGCTGCCACAAGAGGGACGTAGAAGGAAAGCTAAGAGAACCGGGGAGAAAAAAACAAACCGAAAGAGCAGCTTCATGCAGGTTCTTAGCAACATACGTTTTGCTTTTGTTTAGAAGGATCTTGTGGGATCATAACATTTCTATAGTTTCCTCCACCCCTAATAATCTTTAAAAGCTTTATAGACCTTAGAAAATGTGTTAATAAGCATTAATGGCTAAAATGGATCTTTTCCCAGAACTCCACAATCTTTCCTCAGCGTTTTCCTGCTGGAATGTCTGTAGCAGTGCTGGGACAGGGTGTGGTTGGGCTGGCTGTGTTTCTGTTCCATCTCTAGCTATTGGACAACAAATACTGCAGCGTTTAATAGGCATATGGGCAAGAAGGTTATGGAGCTATTTGTGTTTACTTCTATTGAATTTTCACAAATTAATGGGTGATGATGCACATGTCCTAAGATCAGAGCTCATATAAATGCCTTCACGAAACAAGAGGACCATAAAAACCTTTTAAGCAAATACTGAAGGATTTATTGGACTATTGTGGCATTAAAAAGCACAGTCTTGCACGCAGTACATTGAAAGTAATGCACATGTATATTTTAGGATCTGCATCGTATTAATGCCTGATGTCAGTAAAGCTTTACTTCAGCCATTGTGAGGCAGAGGCATAACTAGCTGGGCATGTGGCTTCATCTGAGCAGTCATACAGGAAGAAAGGGCTGTTGTGAATAAAATTATAGCAATTTTATGAACTTTAGTCCTTAATGCTTAAATTTGTATAACAAGTATTTTAACATCACATTAGAAGATCTCTGTCAAGTGATACTAGATTGAAGTCTTCTTTAAAAAGCCCTTAATCCATAAAAACGCTTTCACAAGCTGAAAGCACATCAGAGAAGGATTATTGTGTGAATGTAAAAATTTCTCTAAGGTGCCAGGAATCTGAGTGCACCACTAAATGCAGCCCAGCTTTGATTTCAAGACTGCAAATAACGTGGTATTGAAAACTCACAGAAAAGGGCTTTCGCTCGCTGCCAGTGGAATCTGGATGCTTTTATCCTTTAGCAAAGTGTAATGTTTCTGTTTCGACCGATTTGTTTGCAGCTTCAGCTGCACTGTGGCTGTGAAAAAGTGTTCCTGAAGCAAACTGGATGAGTACTTTGAAGCAATGGAGGAAAAGGAGGAGAAGATCTTGACATTTCTTCAGTGATCTCGGATGGAGAAGATACTTAGATATTAAGGTGATGAATGACACGTGAAGATAATAGCAGTGTATGAAACTAGCTATAAACTCTGTGCTACAAACCAGTTTTCCTTCCCTGTCTAAGCTAAGTGGGTAGTAAAAAGCTAATAAACCATGAAAATGTAATTTGATGTTGAAGCACTACTTAAAAAGCCTTTAGCTCAGTAGAAAATTGGAAATCCTTCCCCCCAAAATGTATTCAAATGCCTTTTACCTCTTGTTCCTTGTAAATAGCTGAAGTGTGTGGTCATCCTCAACAATGCCACGTTAGCACTGAATCTGACTTCGGTGAACGTATGGAGGGGAAAAACCTTTTTAAAAACAGAGCTGCTGGGGTTTTTATTGCAGTTTTTGCTTGCAAAAGTACTGGGTGAAATGAGCCACTGCTGTATAACTGGCCGCAGATGTCAGATTGCTCACAAAAAAGCACGGTTTTTAAAATCCAAGGAAAATAGCTGGAAATAGTGGATATATTCCTGAAGATATTTGAGAGTTGCTTGTGAAGTTTGCCTTTTGGAGGAGTTCTGGAAGAAGCAGACTTGTTAGAAATATTCTGTTTCTGAAAGGGCATCGTCTTGAAGTGGGATTTCTTCAAACCAGATGTTGTATCTCAGCTGAAAAACAAATTTTGAATCTCTTGGTTAACTACAAAGAGAGTACATGTTTCTTTGTTTTAATGTCTGGCAGTTATCCTGGGCAGACGGAGGAGCAGTGAGGTTATTTTGGTATAACGTAAAATCCAGTTCTTCACAAGGAGTTTTGATGTGTTTGAATGGTGTGGGCTGGTGTCTCCCTCTGTTTCAGTGGAGAAAACAGAAGAGTGGTGCTTTTTCAGGTTACCCCCAGTGTCTTGTTTAAGGTATAAATACCTTGATTTTAGCAGTGTGATTTCTGATGTGATAACAGCTTGCTTTCTTCTCAAAGCATTGCTGCTTTACAAACCTTTTTTTTATTTTTCTTCCTTTTTTAACTTTCAGGGAAGGGAACTTGCAAGGAGTTAAACGTGAGGCTGTTTTTTGTAAAGAATATATTTAAGAGAACAAATAATTTGAAGAAGTCTGGGTTTTTTTTTTCTTTTGTGTCCTAACCTGTTTTTTTTCCTTCTCTACTTCTTTAAATGAATAACTTACTTGCATTCTCTATATGTAAAGTAAATCCTTCCAAGCTAAACCTTCTTCCTGCTGTGGGAAAAGTCTGTTAATTTGGCACTTGTCTTAAAAATGAAATAACGTAAGTAATCCAATAATTAGGTGCGTTGCCCTTTGGGCTTTGTTGTGTGTCTGAACTGCTCTGAAGCTGTACGTGTAAGAACACGTGTTTAGCCACATAATGTGGCTGCATGATTTAATATGAGTGGTTCAGATTCCTGTTGGCCTAAACACCTGCATCCAAAGTGGTTCTTGTCATGAAATAACAGCCGTTTCCTTTTCTGCTCTCCAGCTCCCAAGGATTAACACGTTTTCATGGACACCTCAGTTCTTTTTGATGTGAAACGCAGATTTTGAGACCAAGACCTTATCTTTCCACTGCCAATACTGAAGCTCCAGGAAACAGCGAGAATAAAACTTTCATACAGTTGTAGCAGCTATAGGTAGGACAGCAGTACAAACAGCTTCTTTCTTGCTTGCCTGAAAAAGAAAAAAAATTCTAGAATTGAGGGAGACCAAATATATTAGGTGTTGCAGTAGTTTTCCTGTGATGGAAGCCCTTCCATTAAAAATCTTGTATTTCTGATGTTTTGGGGTGAGTACAGGGCAGAAAGAGGTTGGGTGCTGAACCAGACTGGTTTTGGGATGGAGAAGCTTGCTTAAAGTGGAAAGAATGTTTTCCTTGCAGCATCTAGTGGATTTGAGGAGGAACCAAGCCAGTACTGAGCACGGGTCATGAATGGTTACAGTGTAGCTGTGTAATGCCTTCCCAGAACTCATGAGTTCCTTGGAAATGTACCCAGGCCGCTGGTGGCATTTTGTCAAACAGTGTATGAAAAGATCCCGAGGCCGCAGGGTCCCAGGTTTTAACAGTACTGAGAGTGAACGATTTCATGTATTATGCCACCTACTTCCTAAATGCAGCAGGCTTAAGTGGATTTCCTTCTATTTGCTCAAAAAAGAGTTTCCAAGTGTCAGATTGATGATATGGAGTGTTTCCTATAGCTCCTTTGCATGCCCATGCTGGTTTTGCCTTTTTCAGTGCAGTTTCATAGCCTGTTCCTCAGCTGCTAAGCCAGAGCAGAGGAAAAGCCATTTTCCCACCCCAGGCTGCTGCTGGTTCCTGGGACTTCCTCACACTGGCTGATTTAAGACCCACCAGCATGCCTTGGGAGCATCCACACCCTGATGGCAGCACCTTGGGGCTTTCTCTGGACCAAATCCAACCTGCCCTCTGCTAGGTTTCCAACAGTGCTTCCAAATGGCTAACCTTTGCTTTTGGCTCTGCTCTGCCTCCTACGTGAAGGGCAGCCAGTGTGACAGTGAATGAATGGAAAGGTTCTGGAAGTGCTATGAAAAGAGGAGTCCTTCCCCCCTGCTCCCTCTGGTATCATGCAGACTAGCAGTTATCAAGTGGTGCCATCTGAGATTCATGATGAAGAGGCTAAAATGGAAATGGAATTTGCTTGAATTCCTGGACCCTGAGCAGAGTTCATGGCAACCCTTTGAACCCATTACGGAGTCTGGAAACTGTGAACTGGGTCTGTTTTTACTAAAAATGAATTACCAGACTTAATTTATGGTCAAACAGAAGTTTTCACATTGTTTTTCAGTTTTGGTCCAGAAAATCCAAGAGTCCTATGTCATGTGGAAGAAACCCAGAGCACAGAAACATTGCACGCAGTTGTTAGCAAATGTTATTAAGAGAAATGAAATGCTATGCCTTTATTTCAGCTATCGTATGAAGATTGAGCAAAGGTGCTCTGGGAAGCCTGCTGGCAAGTAAGTGGCATTCCAATCTCAGACAAGATGCTAACATACTAGGCCACTTTCTTGGCTGCAGGTTATTATATGACTTTACTGGAAGAAATTATTGCAAAAAGGATGTGAAAATCTGCAAAGCAGTAATTCTAAGCAGCACTTTGGTAATGATGTCATTTAAACAAAAAGTAATATGAAGCGTTGGGCAGTGACCTTCTTTGGATCAAGAGCAACACAAGGCCGCTAGCCAAAATGCAGGAGAAGCTGCACGGTATAATGAAAGTGTTGTGGAAAGTCCAAAGCATGTAAGGTCAAGGTCAAGTACAAAAAGAGCGTATTGGGATGACCCTAGGAGTGGCAGCATAAACAGTGCAGCATTTTCTACTGCAAAGGTGTAGAAGGAGATGAGTGGAGGAAGCCATTTGTAATTCTAGTCATGTACTGTGTATGTTTATGATTGGTCTGTAAGTGTTCAAGTAAGAAACCAAATCATGGGCTAGCTGGAGCATTGGAAGACTGTGAATGATTGCTGTGATATCACACTGATCTTAAACTACTTGTTCTTTTGGAAATTAAGTCCAGTTCTAACTTGCATCTGCCTCTTCTCTACTGAGGAGGCAGAAAAGCTGAAATGAAACAAGGGACGTTATTCTTGATGGATATGAGGAAGCATCAGAAATGCCGTGTAAAAACTGTGTTATTGTAGGTTTTTTCGTAATGGAATGACCCACTATGGAAGCACAAGTGTCTGTATTGAAGGATCAAACTAAGGTATGGAGATTAACCCTTTCTGTTATGTCTGTGTAGCTTTAACTCAGTTCATCTGTGAATAGCTGGAGGCCTGATCAGCTTTGGAGGCTCCACATGCCTCACCCTCCTTCCCCTCCCTGTATCACTCATTCTGTGTTCCGCTAGAGGCCACCACAAACCTCATCTGAAAAAAAAAACCAGAAAGGGAGGGGGCACCTGCAGGAATAAATGGCAACAGTTCTTATTTTATAGCGAGCTTTAGAAGTGCAACTCGGATCTTCTTAGAACAGCTTCTCTTCCCGCTGTGTTAGGAGTAACTCCCAGATGTGACTTGAAGCCAGCAAATGATCTCAGGCAGTGAGATCAGATTTTGCTGAGTATACAGGGTTAGGCATGTTCATTGCTCTCCTTCCAGAAGGTCTCCTATCCAAACCATGCATTGACATTTGATTTCCTTGGGAACATTGGCCTTCACAGTAGCCTTTACAGCATTTGTGTATAGAAACCCACAGTTACAACGTTGTCTCTTGCCTTGCCAGTGGAGAATTGCTTTTGTGATGGCTATTTATTCACCTGAGGCGTGGGGTTCCTGGAATTGTGTGTGCTTTCCTGGAAGAAGTGTTGAACAGTGTAATGGTTTGTGCAGAAAGCATTCAAAGACTGAAGCAATATCAAGGAGAGACAAGGCAGCTGGACTTCAGGGAGAGCTCTCAGATTCCACTCCATGATAGGTATTTCTCTGGCCATCACTGTCTCAGGAACTCAGAGTCGCTTACACCCAAAGTGTTTTGGCTTGAATAAAGGTTAATGGGAGAAACTGAGTGCTGTGCTGGCCAAAAGCAATTGGCCTTTATTGAGGGAAGCATTGCAAAAATACAGGGGATCGAACTTCTAGTTTCCATGTGGAATTAGAATTAGTGAAATCTTGTGACTATGGCAATTAGATGCCATCTGTGTCCTTGCAGTCTTTGGAAGGAGAAAGTTTAAATGAAGCAAGGACTGAACTCTGAATCTTTACCCACATCTCGATACTGAAAAATATTGTGAAAAAGATTGATTTTACTTTTGTGGCTGTTTTTCAGATTTGGGTGGGGTCAGCAAAGGGAATTGCCAGAAATCTCCAGAGCCAGTTCATTCCTATGAGATTTCTGGTCTGATATTTTCTTGAAAACTCAAGAGGTTTGGATTACTCTCCAGACTTCATCTTTCTGGAGAGCTGCCCACTGCTTTTTAAGCCTGTGTACACGAATGCCATTTTTCCATTTCTCTAGGGGTGAAAATAAACCATAGTCTGAATGATGCTGAATTTTCCTCTGAGTTTATAAATGATGTACAAAGGAGCACAAATTTCAAATAAAGCCAGTAATCTGTAATGTCTCAAAGCTTACGAAAGTAGAATGGGCACGAATAGAGATCTGTGGTGAGGTGGGCTGATGCTGTAGCATAGCAGGGAAGGCGCGTGTTTGCCAGCCGGTTCCCTCCACAGTCGGTGACAGTGATGAAACCAGCAGTTCCATAAATGTTCACAAACTGTTCACTTTGAGCTAATAGGCTTCTTGAATTGATCCTCTTGACTTGCACCTGCTAATAGCTTCCTAGGTAGCCTGGACAAGGAGTTCCCTTCAGCACTGAGAAAGCTGCAGTTTGGATCGTGTTCTTAAGTCATACCTGGGTGCTTTCGGGCCTGAGTGGGGAGATACTTCTGCATGAGAGCAGCTGAGTATTTAACAGTTATCTAACCAAATGCAGATGAGGGCTCAGCTGCCTGGATCTGCGCTATTATTTGTGTTTGAAAATCCACCTTCATATTGTATGAGATCTCTCTTTTGAGGGAGACAAAGTGATCCTGCTCCTGAGGACGATACCTGTCCTCCCCCACCCCCGGAGCGTGGGCCTCGTGAGCATCTTTGTCTATTCATATGTATGACAGCTGCAATTATCTTTGACAGAAAGCCTGTGGAACGCCTCAGGCAAGCACTGGAAGTGGGGACAGCAGTGTGGAGAATGTTCTGCCTTGTGATGCGATGGGCTCTGTCTAGAAGGCGCTGGGTTTGTCAGCCTCTGCTTATCCTTGAGGATTCTTTTGTGGTCAAGGTTTTGGGTGCAGTGAGGGCATAAAAGGCAGTTTTCAGGAAGACGATTCATTTGTGTTTGTTCAAAATCTAACCCAATTATTTACAGCAGTTGAAGTGAGGTATAAGCAAAAAAGACTGAAAGACAATGTTCTGCTTTACCACCATCATAGAATTGTACTTCTTTTTTTTTTTTAATTAAAGCTCTGCTATAATGATAACCATATATATTTTTTCACATTAACGATTCTCATTTTTCTACATGGATAAAGAAGCCCTTGCAGATACAGCCTTGACAATCTGCTGGTTCTTCTTATCTCCCTATTCTTCGTGCCCTTCACAGATCTGACATTCATCTTGATTCCTTGACAACTGAAGAAAGCACTTACACCTGGAGACTTTTCACTGTAATTCATAAAGGCTACTTTTCCATGCTGCTCTTGTGTAAGAAAAAGTCAGATTTCTGTGCGCAAGTATTAAACTATTCATACTAAAACTGAACTTAAGTGTGTAGCCTCCTGAGACAAGGAGTGTTACATCTCGTGATCAACTTCTTTCTTCCCTTTCTCTGAACCATCCGGTATTTTGAAGAATTGAGTTTGGAGGAAGCAATGCTCAGGCTTCTGACCTGGTACCTTCAGCATCCCTATAGTCAGTGAAGATGAAAGGGTGATTCAGTTAATCCTTTGTGACTACTCTTCCTCTGTGTACAATATAACTTAATTTCCACAGCTGAAAAAGTTCATATTTCTTGCGAGAGCTGATTGCAGTTTTTATTTTTTTGCAGGGTGCCATAACAGTGGTCTTTTAATCGCTGGTGTCCTGAGAAGACCTGATTGCTTGGTACTGCTTCTGCTTATTTCCAGCTGTTAAATCACACTGGATATCATCCTTCTGGTTTTTGGTGTTATTTGTGTGTGTGGAGGGAGGTTTGTTCTTGGTTGTTTTTTTTTTTTAATGTAAACAGTAGAGCTAATTGCTATGGAGAGGATATATGAAAATAAGCAAATGAGAAGAAAAAATGGCCCCTGTTACAGACAGTGAAAGTGGAAGTGTCAAGAGAGCTATCATTAATCTTAAATCAACACTTAGTAAAAAGCTACAACTTCTTACTGCCTGTATCCAGAAGGCTTGGACAGGTCTGCTTAATATAACTTCTGGCATGGAAATGTTTTTGGTGTTCCCCTGAGGTGTCCACAGAAAGGACAGCTTTGTGGTCTGCAGCTAGTAGGTCCAGCGTGTTGGAAAAGGTAACTTACCACTTCATACTTCTGAGGCAGAATAAACTGTGAAGTTCAAATTTTCTCTGTGGATCTTTGGGATGAGACCACAGAAAGCACAGTTCTGTCTCCTGTGAACGGATGCTAACCATTCCTTGGCTCTCTCTCTGAAAAGCGTGGTTTTCTCTGGAGTCCCAAGCCAAATGTTTCTCTTTTTTTTTCTGCTGTTCTGCACTCTGTTATATATTTGGCTGTGCTCTCTGTCCCAAAGGTGTCTATGTTCTGGTGGTATTAGGTATGAATAAGTTGTCAAGTTCTTTGGGATCTTCCCCGATGAAAGGCACGATGGAAACTTGATCTTTTTTTGAAGCTACATGGCACAGCGCTAACGGTGTGTGCCAGCTTGTGGCTAGCAGTGATCTGAGGACAGCAAATTCCCATCTATGTGATGTTTGTGTACATGATACAGAAATAGCATTATTCATACACAGTATGTGCATTTTTGTGTAGCTACTGAACCAAGCACGTGTAGACAGCTCTAGCATCGTATCAAGGTGGAGTTGCAGGGCCCCTCATGTTAAGTATTTGGCCTGCAAAGGGGTCGATGCCAGACATTATTAAACTGTGGTAGGGTGATCAAAAGCAAGTCATTGCTCCCGCGGACAGGTCTCCAGGCTATTAAAAAGTCTACGTGCTGTCTGCCCACCTACATGTGTGATCTCAGAGCCCTGAGCACTTCCAGTCCCCTCAGTAATGAGACAATTCCTGTTTGTGCTGTTGCTGAAGACCCCTGGATTACACAATAGGAAGATTTGACCAGGGAGATGGATTATATACATCATTTAGGGGAAAGGAAAAACCAGCCTGCTTACAAGAGCTTTTGTTTTTAAGGTTTGCCATCCCTGAAAGTTTTTGGAAGTGACTGAGTGCATACTGAGCAACGAGTGAAAGCAATCAGGAAAACTGTGTTATTGTCATTATGACTCTGGGAGGTGTCTTTTAGTAGCGAAAACCAAAAAGGGAGACCACGGCCAAAACAGTTTTACTGCAAGAACTGCATGCTCCAAGCATTAATGATACTCCCAACAATAATTTCCAGCAAGACATGATGGCTTAACCATCGCATCAGTTTGCATCTCCTTTGGTCAAAACAGCCTTCAGTCTTCTTTTTCTTTTTCTTTTCTTTTTTTTTTTCCAGTACAATTCAGTTAATTATTCCCAGTTCCCTCAATGAGTCTGAGCTCCCACTGGCTCTTGGAGCAATAGTAGCTCATTGTTGCAAATGAGCTTAATCCAGTGTTAGAAGTCTTTATTGTCTATAATAGAAAATGGCATGAATAGTAAAGGAAAAAATGTGAGATGTTTCCTGTAAGGTTTTAACAACCCTCCTGGGTGCATGATTACAACATGTGCTGGGGAATAGTTTTGAGCAGGGTGGCGGTGAGGAGAAGGAGCTCTGGCAGCAATTTACACCCCCATCTGTAAGCCTCGTTACAGCGAGCTGCTTGAGAAGGGAAAGATGGGACACAGCTCTTCTCAGTCTGGATGTGTCACTGCTTTTCAGTCCTTTGCCCTTCTGATTTGTCAGTTTGTCTCTGGCAGGCTTAAATGAGAGGCACAACGAAGCTGAGTGAGGGCTGATATGGAATTTGTGGGCTTACGAAAGCACTTTGCTTGGCCTCCTGCCCTCAGTTTTGTAGAGTTTCAGTTCCAGGTGTTTCGTTCTTTTCAGACAGAGCTATGATGACACCACATCTGACGTATTTTGGAAGGGGATTATCAGTGTGAGACCCAGGAGTGGAGAATATCTGATGGTGCTATGGTCTGTCTACAGATGACAAAGTTCTGGACCATATTTTCAATGAAGAACAATGCTCAGGGTGGTTCTGTATTCAAGATCTCATATTTCAGCCTTTCTTCACATAGACCTCAGACCTACCTTATAGATTTTTCACCAGTCCTGTCACTGGCCTTGTCTCCTACTCTTTCTGATGAGTCCCCAGATGGAGCTGCTAGTAAGTTATGCAGCAGTCTTCCTCAGAAGAATATTGTGGCAATGAAGACTGAAGCATTTGTTGTGTTGGCTGTTTAAGAGCAAAAATAGTGGAAAACCCCAAGTCAGGTCATGCTGGTTCTGTCACTGGTGTTGAGGGCTGAGTTAAGGCTGAAACAAAGAGTTGGAATGTGTTTTCAGCTCATCTGCCTTTTATGTGGGAGTCGTCCCACAAATGTTGGAAGTAATCTCTGCAGCTTTTTTTCAGCTATTTCTGTACCCTATCTTAAAGTTGTTGGTGTTTTCTCACATTCTAAAACTCTTAAGAAATTGGTCAGGGAAAAACTGATGTCCCATTAAAAGTCAGATTTTCAGATGCAGAAAGGGTAAAAGAAAGCAAATTCCTAATAGTGTTGCAGGAATAAGCAGCAAAGCTGACCCTTCTGAGCTCTAATCTTCAAGGATGGCCTCATTTTCTGTACTCTGATGCAGTGACCTCCTCTCAGGGGACTTCCCTGTCACAGGGTTCCAATTGATTTGATGCTGCAGCTGTGGCCACTGTTATGGCATTCTGCTTATAGCCACAGTAGATTGCCTAACTGTTTTTAGTTCCTCTAAATGACTTCACTGATATTACTCAAATTCCATTAGTAGAGTAGAAAACGAGGAGAATTAATGATAAAGTTAACGTAGTGCACCATGGAGCCGTGTCCATTTATTATATTTTTGCAGGCTTGGTTCTCTGTCATTGCAGTTTGCCATTGATTAATTGAAAGGAACATTAAAAGTACTTATAAAAGGTCTTCGGTCAACTTCAGTATCTTGCTTCCCTTAGAGATTTGAAGTTAAGAGACATAAACCAGATTTCAGCAAGCTGTAACTCTTCAAACCAGTCACAGAGCACGACCTTGAATGGATGATTGCATCTTGCACTGAATGAAGCATGTGGAGAGGAGGTGAGGCTGTTATTCTGTATTGACTGATGGAGTTTTCTTACAATATTTGCTTCACTGTACATTTTGATGTCAAATAGTGAATCTGCCTTTCCTAAAGCACTGGTGTTGTTATTTGCATTACTTAGTTCCGACCTAAACTTTGTTACCTTGGGGCCACAAATAGTTCTAAACATAAATCATTTAAGAATCCTGTTTGTTGAGACTGTGTTTTAGCAACAGATGAAATAAGTGTTTGTACATAACCAAGCTGTAAAATCATGTTTTGCAGATTTCTGAAGATAGAAGTTTGTTTTGACTGGAAACACTCAGCAGAAAGGTAGGACAGGACCAATGATTCTGCTCACTGCTGGGCATGACCTTCACTGTCCACTCCTTTCCACAGTATCCATCTTTAGAATTTGCAAATGTTCATCCATGGCATTCAGAATGAGGAGATGCTGAGAAGTTCTAATGTACTGAGCTTAATACTGATCTACACGTGAGTGAAATGGAAGTGAGTATTGAGTGAATGTGTCAGCTTGGTTCAACTCCATTTGTAATCTCACAGTCCACCCGAACAGAGAATGCATCTTCCATGACATTGACAATTTTATTCGTGGTGGCATGTAATAAAAATTATGACTGACTATGATTTAGTTCAGACTTCAGGACTCACAGTTGACAGTCTGCAATGACTGTGACCATTTTTTTATCTCCACCTTTTACAGTGGATGTATGAAAGCTGGAAACCTAGCTTTAATGTGTGAGCATTAGCAGGCTCATGTAAAACTACTGAAATGAAATGCATGTCTTCTCATATATAATGTTTTAAAGAAGGTACTGATCTGCTCTGTTTGCACAGTAAGAAAAACAGTGGGCCTAAAGAGCATCCCTTGGAAACATTTTCTAGCAGTGGGAATACAAAGCATTGGAAGCTTCCTGAGCTGGTTGTGGAGCTTCCATCACTGGAGGCATTGAAGAACAAGGCAGAGAAATCTGACTCAAGAATGCCATAGATACTATTGATCCCCTTTGGGAGAGAAGGTGGAAAATATTTTAAAATCCTTACTGGTTATCTTCTAGAATGATTTTGTTTCTTATGGCCATAAATATATAAGAATAACTGCAAAACACTTCGCATGCTACTTTGGAGACTGGAGGTGTTTTTCACTTATTTTTAGAACTTGACCTTAAGACTGAAAAATAACTTTTTCCTTCTGACTTTTGTTCTTTGCCTGGCAAACTTTAGTTAAAAACACAGAGATGGAAAATATTTAAACTTTTAACTAGCATGAGCTTTTCTTTTTGTTGTTTGTTTGTGTGCTAGCTCATTTGTGATGTCAACTCCAGTCAGGGGAAAAAGGTGTAACTAACTTGGCACTGCACAGAGTGCAAAAACAGTTATGCCAAAGCCCACATAAACACTATCTACTGCTCAGTGTTATTAATTTATTTTTATCAGTAATACTTAAAAAAAAACCATGCTATTGACAAACCTGGAAGATGTTTCCCCATCAGATAATAATAATAAGTTCAAGTGTATCATCCAGTCTTCAACTTGCCCTTTTACACAGGAGCAGGTACCCAGAATGAATCACGTCATGACTGAACGCTTTCTGACCTACTGTTGTGTGTTGAAGCAGCATTACAGCAATGATTTATGGGATTTCTGGCCCTTAGATCCGAATATAGAAAGATGAAGAATGAGTCCAAGGAAAATAAGGGTAGGAATGACCTCATTTTGTGGAGACACCATGTCTTGGTCAGCTTCAGAAAGCTGTGAAGAAATGAGCTGCCTTTTTCTCTGTGCAATTATTTTATCACCATCAGTGAAAAGGTCCCAGAATCTGTTGCAGAATAAAGAGAAGTGACTTCAGGTTTCTAGAACATAAAGATACACTGATGGCTGCCTTCATATGCAGAAGACATCATTTATAATTAGCGCAGTGTAAATATAATAGGCCTTGGTTCAGTTCATTTGAAGTAAGTGATCAGTAAGCACTATTTTGTCAGCATCCTGTCCCACACCAGTTGTTGCTGAGGAAAACTGATGTCATTTCTGAGCAGTGAATATTCCTGACATCACTGAGTTTGAGGACTTGCAGCTTCTAAATACCAGCAGTTTCTGTCTTGTGCTGTAATGTATCAGCAGACATGTAGAGGTAACATGCTTCATGTGTTCAGTTCAATCTCCAGCCTCCACTAATAAATTAATTATAAGTGACTTTTGGAAGGGAAAACAGATGGTGATGAGCTTGCAGATTGTCACCTAAGTTCTCCTTTGCCTCCCTATGAAGCGAGCCAGCATCTCTGCTGGTAGCCTGTAATGTTTTAAATCCTTTGACTTGCAGCTTGTCCATACAATGTATTGGAAAGAGTGAGGTTCTCTGCTTACCACTCATCCTTCACGGTGACTTGAAGAGTTTGGGAGCTTTCTTCTTTTTCTGCCAATTATTTGAATTTCTTCAGTCCGCATTAAAACCGAAGGAAATAGTCTAACTTCTCTGCATTCTGACTTTGAGTTAGTTTGAATGCTGAATAATGGGCATAACTTCAGAACTTGTGAATTTTACACAAAACGTGATCACCAGTTTATAGTATTGCAGCAGGGTTTGTGATTCTGAGCAGCTGAAAGTGTTCAGCAAAAGGCTGAGCTCTGTGCAGGAGAATCATGTCTCCTCTTGACACATTGCTCTTCCTGGATGCAAACACTGCTCCCTTGTTGGCTGGGGGTCACGCTGTTTTACAAGCTAGCTTCACATGGCCTCAAAAATGGTTGTTTCTAGGCAGCCCATACCTCTGCTGAAAAAATGGTTTCCTTTTTTTGGCCTCTCAAGGCTTAGAAACATGCAAGTATCCAGTTATTTAGATAATGGGCTTTCAAGCAACATCTTTATTAGGTGTCTGAGTTTAAGGCTTTTTGAATGTAGGTTTATTTGGTTCTATGTCTTGATACCATCAGGTAATGCTCCATTTGGATAGCAGAGAATGTATTCATATTTTATGTGCCTTGTATTAAATGGTTCCTTTTTTTTCCCCACTTACCACAGGAAATAAACCATGGTCGATTTGATCTTTGGATTCACAACCAGAAGTCACTTGCTGTGCATAACATGAGGTGACATGTTCCAGACAAGAAGAATCATGGAAATGCCACCTAGGTAAGGTGGGCAAACTAACTTAATGTTTAGTATAAATTTACTTGGTGAGAAAATGTAAAATCTGTCTGCTGCAGCACTCCTGTAATATAAAAGTAACACTTGTCTGCATACTGTGCTGAACATGCGTGCTCAGCAGTGCCTGCAGGACTGCACGGTTACCTTCAAGAACTGTGCATAGCCACAGGGATGGGAACTTCTTCCTGAATATGGGAGGTCTGAGGCCAAAATGAGGACAAAAGCCTTCTGTCCATTCTGTCAATATCCAAATATTCTGCTTCTATAACACTTTAAAGACTGAACTACTGTTTTCTGGGGCTTTCCTGTCTGTGGTGTCCCGAAGGATTTTGGATGATCAGCACACTAATAGATTTCATAATCAAACAGTGAGAATGTGTGATCAAGAATTTCACTGCTCTGCAGACTCACCTTTTTGACAGGCTGTGGTTTAACTTGCAGTTTCCTTCATGTAATAGCTTTAAGATTTTTGGGGGGCAAATTTTCTTTGGCTGCCCTGGACGGATTTCTCCATCTGCTCTGTGTCCTCTGGTGCAAAGTGCTGGATTTAGACTGACTGAGGGAAACTGCTGGACTGAGGCTCATTCTTTCACAGACAAGAAGCAGCACAGTCTCCCTTCCTTTCATGCTGTCACCTCTGCACTGCATCCTTCTTTTAGAAAAGCCTGGGTAGGGGAGAAATGAAAATGTCAGCCTCTAAGGACCGGTCCATTCGCCAGATCCCTTATTGAAAATGGTGTGATAGCCCCTCTTTGGAACTGAAAGATGACTCAGTAATTCTACCCCAAGCGTGAGTGGTAAAGCTGCCTTGGGGCGTTTTGAGAGCCTTTTCTGAAACTCCACTGGGGTCCAGATGTCTCGTAGCTTTTGTGATCTTGTGAGTAGTTTTAGAAGGAAAATCTGTGAGGTTTAGGGATATGAATCATCCGTCTATCCTGTGTCCATGAAGAAGAAATAAAAACCTTGGTCCAAAAAAAATCCATTTAATTCTGGAATTTTCTGACCTATTTTGGTGCAAGCCGATCTAAAAAAAAAAAAATTAAGCTACTCTCCTGATGAGTTTCTCATATTGTTTACTTTTGTAACGTTCTCTGTGGACTAGCAGCCAGAAATGACGTCCACCCGTCGTCCAGCATCAGAGAATAAGAACTTCAGAGGAAGGAATGCAACTTCATAAATAGGAAACCACAGATACTAATGGGGAGCAGAGGCAAACCTGCAGGTTAAAAAGTAGTTGCAAGAGAAGCTCATACATCCACACTGCGTGGAGATTCAAAGATGATTTCAGCTCTAGCCTTTGTTTTTCTCCTCTGCCTCTCCTGCCCTTTTTCATCATGTCAGCAGAGAAGAGCAGGTAAGAAATTCTGATTTTCTCTATATTTTCTGCACTCTGTTTTCTAGGCTGCTCTCAATGTTCTGTTTTGCAGCAGGGGATGAGCAAGAAGATAACATTTCAGCTACATCTGCTGAAGCCTGAAAGCTGTGCTTAGGGATTTTGTAGTCCTGCATGAAACTTGAAGCCGAACTTCGTAAATGTTCAGTCTTAGATTTTCCCCCTCTTTCCTGCCTAATTAGTGATGTATTTTTAACAAAAGCATTTATCTTGGGGCAAATGGCAATGTTGTGTTCTGTAATGACCTACAAGAGACAATTTATATTAATCTGTGTTGCATGTGATTAAGCAAAAAGCTCATGCAGGATGTTCTGTAGCAGGAGCCTTGGATATTCTCTCTGCTTGTGCATCTAGAGCTTAGAGTAGCCCTAATTTCTAGGAACTTAGCCATGCTTACTTCAGCTTAATTCATTACAGAAGTTCCACTTCTCTCAACAGCCTGTTAGGGGACGTTCAGCATCAAGAACTGTACCAAGAGAATCAAATGCATGCTGGTGGAAAGAGAGTGAGCCCATAGAGAAAGGTGCATCGTAACAGAAATGTCTGCAAGTGTATAGATTTAGTTTGGGAATTGCTCCTGACTCATTATTGTGAATTTGAAACTTAAAACACATTTAAAAAAAAAACTAATTTTGAGATATATCTTGCTATAAGGAATGGAAAATTCTTCCATAACAAAAATAACAAAGCTGCCTGAAGTCTTGAAATAGAGCTTATTCAAAACTCCTTTTTGAAGTTCAAACTATGTGCAAGCTCCTTGTTTTCAGTAAAATAAGGAATGTCATTTTCATTCACTCTATCTTAGAACTTGCAGTGCTTTCTATTTAGTTCCCAAACCAAAAAGTACTGGAGAAGGTACAAATATTCCTCAAGTCCTCTTGGTTCTGTGCGGGGAAACCCACGAGGCTTTCAGGCTCATGTATCACCTGAGCTGTGCTCAGCAGCAGGGCTGACACGCTGCCTCTGGTGCTGGCACAGTCTTCATGCCTGGAAGAAGCAGACCCCAACTGCAGCTACTTCCCCCTGCTTGTTTGCCTCGTGTTTGGTAGAAGACACTGCTATTCCTGTCTTCAGAAAGATTTGCTTGCACTGTAGGGAAGGTGTGACGTCTGTTAGTAGATTCATTAATCTAGGAAAGCTTTGAGAAACAAGGCTGTGCTTTCTCATGGCAGTCAGGAGAATGCTGGAGTTGAACTTTCTGCCCAGTTGTTTTTAAATATTCATATTTTCATATATATTTTTAGAAACAGTAAGCAACTTCCATTCATTCTTTCAGAGCTAAGATGAAGAGCGTGGACTAGATGTTTAGCATGCCTCAGTAGCTGAGGCAAGTCTACAATCTATTATCTGAGAAGGAAAACTCACGCATGGGTGCAGATGTACCTTTTGTGTCCCAAAGCCACTGCAAAGCAATCTGAAACTACCCAAAATGAACCCAGCTTTGTGCAGCAAGAAGTCTGAGCCTCGAGAACAGGCAATGTAACAGCTGAGGTGCTAGTTTTCCACATTCACTGCTTGGCAGCACATTTGGGATAGACTCAGCAAAGAGCTTTGATTTACCTGTGCCCTTCAGAGTAACTTTCACAGCACTGAATTATTAATTTGCTTCTTTTGGCAGCAAAGGCTTCCAACGTGTGAACTGCTCAGACGATGCCAGATTAACAGCTACCACAACTTGGCTGCCAGGACAATTTGTTTGCTGAGAGGTAGCTGTTACCTGAGTGACAAGCTTGGCTGATTATCACCACCAAGAGCAAATCCTTGCTTGTGTGCAAGTCTTTATTACTTCCAAGCAAGCCTCCAGTTAGGAACTGGGAGAAACTGGTGTCGAGGGTTCTGTGTCTTTAATATTAAATATAAGTTCACGATATCGGTTGATTTGTACTGCTAACAGCTCTTCTGTGTTTTTCCCAACCATTGTGTCTTGGTAGGAATTGAAGTTGGGCCTGAAATGCTGGAAGAGATGAGAGAAACTAACCGTGTGTTAATGGAAGTTCGAGACTTGTTGAAACAGCAGGTAAGTGAGGAAGGGATCTGATCCTTGTTTGGTGCTCAAGATCAGTCACTGAATCTTCTGCCTTCAGTGCTGAGTTCTGGGACGAGGAGGCCTGTGTAGGGTGATAGAATTATTGCTCTGAACAACAGGGTCAAGAGGTGGTCTCACAATTAGGTCTGTTGTTCTGAGAAAAAGTAGATTCATCTGATTCTGCTGCTTGGAACTATGTCTGCTGACAGGCAGTGTATGCAGAGAATGAGCTCTTAAAAAAAAAAAAAGACACACAGTAGAAGTGTATTTAACTGGAAAAACAAGTCAGTTTTTCCTTGGTTTTGTGGGCACTTGAAATCAGTAACGTCCAAAGTTGGAAGGTGGAAGAGACCTTTCAGCTGTCCGTTAGGGTCCTGGAAAGAAAACTATATGGAGTCTAAACAAGCCCTGTATTCACTTTCCTCTTGTTGTTTTAATCCTAAGCCTTTCTGGCTCTGGTATTTTCTTAGGGAATTTGGAACTTCTTGGGTGCTCAGATCCTTTCCCCTTTTAACGAGGAGATGGTGGTTTGTCTGGTCAACTCTTTTAGGTATAGAAAAAGGTTCCGTTCTCCCTTTATCCATTCTGGGAGCTGAGGGCAGCAGCTTTGGCCTGCCAGCTAATTGGAATGGCAGACAGGCCTGTGTGCCAGTGCAAACTGGGCGGCCTGTAATCTGCAAAAACATCTGTTGCATTGAGTTACTCTCAAATTTCAGGCTTCTGCATAAATACCCAGTGTTTACTAGGAATCAGGTCAGACATGGTTCCTGGCAGCCTGGAGCAATGATTTCCAGTGTTCCCTTCCAGCTTAGCGCTTACACTCCATATAGATTTTCTATTTGTTCTTTCTCTCACTCTTGCCACCTACTTTTTTTTCTTTTTTTTTTTTTTAATCCATGGGCTTTTTTTAATGGCACTTTCAAGCAAACTCTTCCCGAGAACACAAACTGACACTTGTCACTGGGAAGCCAGGAGGAGGCAGTTCATGACGTCTTCATTTGTGCAAAGATTTTCTAAAACTCACTTTTTCTTGATTCATCATCTAGAGATGCTGGCAGTCAGGACAGCAAAAGACGTAATAATGAAAGCCCAGGTCTCATCTCCTGAGCCAAAGGCTGAAGAGTTCTCAGCACAAAGGAACCTCTGATATTCATGAGCAGCTCCCCCACATCTCCCCTCTGCGTTCTGTCACCCACTCTAATGGGACACATTCTGGGGATTTGGGTTAGCCATACCTCTGCATTAACTGTTCAAAATACATAACCCTGACCACGTTGGAGGAAAGAGAGAATCGAACATAGAATGAAATCTTGCTGCCAGTGGAAGCTGGCAGAGAGACACGAGCAGATGATTTTGTCCAAGTACGAAGTGAAACGTCTTTAATAGTGGAAACACGAAGTCCATAGGGCATGTAGGGGTGGTCACACACTGTGCCTGAGCATTGGCTGTCAAAAGCCAATAAGGCTTTTTCAGGAAAGAAGCCTGCTAAGGTTTCTGTCTAAGATGCTACAGTCGTGAACATTTTAGCTTATTTTTGCCTGTCCCAAATTCCAACAGCATCTTTTCACTGCCAATGCGACAGATAATCTCTTTGTTGAAGAAAGCTTGAAGGAATAGGAGGCTAGAGGAGAACAGAGGAAGTCTGGAATAAGGAGCCTTTGTGAATAGGTTCAAAATGTCTCTATACCAAAAAATGGTACAAATGAGGTCAGAGGCGACCTGTGTTTTATAGAAGTGGCACACAGGAGATCCTTTCCCTGACTTTGTCTATACAGTGTCTGAGCTGCAGATCACAGAGTCATAGAATCACTAAGGTTGGGAAAGACCTCCAAGATCACCCAGTCCAACTGTCTACCTACCACCACAATTTCCCCATTAAAACGCGTCCCTCATTACCACATCTTGAACACTTCCAGGGATGGTGACTCAACCAATTCCTTGGGCAGCCCATTCCAGAGCCTGACCACTCTTTTGGAGAAGAAATTTTTCCTAACATCCAACGTGAATCTCCCCTGGCACAACTTGAGGCCATTCCCTCTAATCCTAAATGATGCACACCTCTCTAGAACTGTTAATTCAGATTTTCTAGAGAAGAAGACACAAGTGAAGTAGATTCCTTTCTGTCCATGGCACTTCGTTGTGTGTTTTGAGTGTTTCTGGCATCTGTAATAGAACAGTTTTATCTAGCTAGCCTGTAGGAATACTCCAGTAGGGAGAACAAGCCACCTCAGCTTCCACAATGTCTACAGCATAGACTTTGGGGTAAGAATTAATTTGTCTGTAAGTAGCTGTGCACTCTCAGACACCCTGTTTTCTGACAGTGGGACCATTAGCTTGCGTGGCAGCAGAACTCAGCCTTTGGCCAAGTGGTGATTCTTGTTTTCTTCCAGATTAAGGAGATAACATTCCTGAAGAACACAGTCATGGAGTGTGATGCCTGTGGTGAGTTACTGAGTTGAGCCCTATATTCAGCTGTTTCCTCCATGTGCTTCATACCTTTGTGTCCAAACAAGTAGTAAAACGCCATGTGTGACCATCTGCCCTAAGGAATTGGCTTGTTTCACAGCCACCCGAGTGGCAGAGAGTAATACTTGGTGTTAGTGATGCTTTTTTTCCCCCGTGGCATTCTGCACACATGGAGCAGCGTTGCGTGCTGATCTCACGGTTCAGTGGCAATTGCAGTTATTACCCCTTTGCTGAGCATGGAGTGCAGAAGCAGCATGAAAAATCTCATATCTTCCCAGCAAATCTTCTGCGTTTGCTCACGTCCACAGTTTCTAAAATAAACTTTATTAACGGGTCTGTGACATGCAGTGCTGTGCTTCTCAGGGTAGCTGTGTTCAGAAAGCTGCCCAACCCCATTTCTTATAGCCCAGCCCATGGCCTGTGTTAGGATTGCCTGGGAATGCACACCGGCTGTCCTGCGGGACACAGCTGGCTACTCTTGAGCTGAGCATGGAAGAGAACATCACCCCCAGGAGGCACTGCTCTGCTACTCGTTCCATCTAATGTTGTCACCTTCCAAGCAAAAAGGGTGTTTACAGAGGATTCAGGAAACAGGGTCATAAATTCTCCCATGTACATCTTGCCCTCTGTTCCTTGCTAAATGGTTTTTCTGGACTGGAACTTGCTTCCAATCGATCTGACTTGCAGAAAGCACGGTTCGTGGAGATGCTCTGTTATTTGCCAGTACATTTGAAGGGCGGAGCAAGAACTGTTTCTCCATTTGGAGAGATTGTACTTTTGCTGGAAAAGAGATTAGCCAAAGCTTCTGGGACCTGTAGTGCAGAAATGTATTCATCCACACCAATTGTTTTAGTAACTCACTCATAAAGCTGTCTTGAACTTTCTCTCTGTTACCTGATCTCTGACTTCCCCACTCGGTTTGTGCTGTTTGTGTGTTCTTCCCTGTACTTCTTGTGGTAGAATTGGAGCTGCTTTTCACCATGCATTGAACGATGTGGCTCACAGCAGTTATATGTGCTTCTCTTATTGTTTCTCAGAAAGAGCAGCATTAAGAGAGAAAGCCTCTGTTTTAGTGAAGATTTTATTGGTGCTAATATAGAGTGTTGGGTTTTCTGTTTGTTTGTTTCAGATTTTTAAAACCAGGCTATTAAGCCAGAGAAAGAGAAGGAAAAAGTCCCCTAGGGCAGTGCATGTGGGAGATCAGTGACAACTCTAGCTTCTAGAAAGTTTATTCACAGTCCTGAGTTAGTCTTCAGTGAAGTTTTGGCTTCCAGCCCTCTGCAGCACTTCCCAGACTCCAGCCTGTGCTGTGTGGGTTGTGCTTCAGCCAGGTGTCTGGGTCTGTGCTTCCAGTGGGATGTAGATGCAGAGGAACCAGGGAGAGAACTGTTCTCTGTGGAACTCCAAAAGCAAAGGCATTACACGAAAAGGAGGGCAGCACGACAGGAGTTTTGGAATAGGAGGGAAGACTTCTGGATTAATTCATTTATTTTGGTCTGCTCTGACTCAGAGATCAGTCCAGCTGCTGCTTCTGGCTTCCTTTTTCTCTGTTTGCAAAGCAGAGCTGCAGCTGCTTAACTCTTAAAAAGCTACAAGGAAACGTCCTGTGGATGAGACACACTGAAATCTCCTGAGACAACAGGACCAGCTTTGGGTAGGGTCTGGCAAAGATAACTCCTTCCTTCATCTTGCTTTTGTCCCCTAGGCATACACACTGAAGCGACAGGCCCTCTCATCACTGTGACACAGTTTAACAGATGTGTCCCAAACCCCTGCTTCCCTGGAGTGCCCTGCACTGAGACCAGCACTGGCTTCCGCTGCGGACCCTGTCCCCCAGGTTACTCAGGGAATGGGTCCCAGTGCACAGACATCAATGAGGTAAGAAACAAGGAGGATGGGCTGGCAGTCACAAAGTGGCCTCGCTTGTCTTGAAGTGCTGCGAGTTCATCTTGTGGCTGCAGAGGAAAGCCTTGCAATTCCCCTAGGAGCTGCAGTTCAACACAAACATCATTTCAGTGGAACAAAGTCTGTTCCTCACCCTGCCTCAGTCTGTGTCCATGTTGATTTTATATCCAGTACAGCAAGGCATTTATTTCTAAAAAAGACAGGCTCCAATAAAATAAATCTTTTGGTTGCAGAAAGGTGATTGTGGAATACTAAAAAAATCCCCTTTGGCCTTAAAATCTTTTGAGCTAGTGGCTGATGAGTTGTTAGAGATAAGATTTATTATGTGTGGAGCAGAATCAAATGCTATCCAAATACTCCTTTATACAGTAAATCTTAGCACACCACATGTATTGCTTCATTTCTGCCTTGAAATTAAACCTTGCTAGGCAGATATTGTTTCACTTTTTTCTTCTTTTACATTCAGTGTGGTATTTAATCATGTTTATTTTGTCTGTATTCAAAGCTTTACTCAGCCATTCATTTTCTGTCTCCAAAAGGTTCCTTAGTTCTGTGGTTCCCAAGTCGTAGTCTCATTCTCCACTGTTAGTCCATCTTACAAAGCCATACCACCTCTGTGGCATTTATAGCAGTTTAAAAACCTGCTGAACCTAAGAAGGTTCACAGGACATTTTGAGGCTGATGATAATCTGTTAGCCACCAAAATGTGGAAAGTGCTGTATCAATGGAAAGCATCTGCTAGCACAGAGCATAAGAATTCAGTGAAAATAATCATGTGTTGGAGGAATAAAGCAGGCAGCAATATCAGCTTTGGAAGCATAATTGCTTCCCAGAGTAGTAAACAAACAACTGTTGTTGTTTTTCAAAGGCAGTTTAAGAAATTACCCAGTTCTCTGGATTCAGAGACTGCCAGGAAGAAGAGTGTGAAGTGAAGCCAGCACTTTGCCTGGGCAATTGATGTCACCTACAAAGAATTAGTCTTGAGATTTTATTTGTTTTACTTGTCTGCACATTCTGAGAAATGAACAACTGAGGCTGGGAAGCTGCATTTTCCACTTGTAAGGAAAGCCAGCAACTTCTATGCATTTTTGTTTTGTTCTTAGAAAATAAAAGCACAATAGCTGGATCTTACCCAGCAGGGCCTGCTTTGGGAACTGCCTTCACAACTGGCCCTGAGCGAGCCTGCCTCACAGTTCTGTACAACTTCCTTCTTGTTTACAGTGCAGTGCAAACCCCTGCTTCCCAAAGGTCCAGTGCATTAACACTGCTCCTGGCTTCCGCTGTGATCCTTGCCCTCCTGGCTTCACTGGGCAAACGGTCGAAGGAGTTGGACTAGCTTATGCCAGGGCCAACAAACAGGTAAGGCACAGAAACTCCTCCTTCAGAAACCATCCGACTCTTTCCCCTCTGTTACTGTAATTAATTCAAGGGTCCTGGAGCCCTCAGAGAAATTGGAGGGAACTACAAGATAGCTGTGTCATACTGGTGGTAAGGTTGATGCAGTGACAGCAAAGAGTTGCCAAGGCCATCGGAGCACGTCAGCAGCAAAGCACCCCGCTCTTAGATCCCAGTGCTGCCGAACTGATGCTGGTCAGAAGGCCACGACTGTGACAGATGTGAGGCTGTGAATCCAGCCGGAGGAATCCCCCATGTTTTGAGGGGTTTGATGCAGCTGGTGGGTACCCAGCTCCTTGTATGGACAGATCCTGTCAGATTAAAACTCAAAAAACAAAGGAAAGCTAACACCTCGTCCTACCATGGTATATAAGAACATACTGACAAAAGCAAGAATGGCTTGCAGCTTGTGTTATTTAGAGAGCTGCTAACTGGACATAGGACACAGTCTTTGACCTTCTTGCTCCACTTACCCTCTTCTATCCTTTTATAGTGAGCAGATATGCTGACAGCTCAGCTCAGAGCTAAGCTATTTCATCAGGCTAAAATCTCTGGTCAGCCTTTAGAGGGTGGACACCGTGCTTGGGGTCAGGAATGTTTCTGGGACTTGGCTCAATCTTGTCTCAAGGAAAACTCTGAGCTCTCAGTGCCAGTAAGGCGTGCTGGGAGCTTTGTTTCTGCAGTCATTCTGCAATCTGACCATCATACCTGTTGAAGAGTGAATTTAATGTCTATTTTGTTCTTCCTGGGTAGGTTTGCACTGACATCAATGAATGTGAGACAGGTGCTGCCAGAAATTGCGTCCCGAATTCTATCTGTATCAATACACGGGTAAGTACTACTGAAAAGCCTCACAGAAATCCCCCTTCCCTGGGTTCTGGGGCCTCTGTTACTGTGGCAATCCAGCACCTGAGGAGAGGTTACAGGAGAAGTTTGCCCAGACTCACAGTTAATTCCCTATTACTTTTTCCTACAGGGATCCTACAAGTGCGGAGCTTGTAAACCTGGCTTTGTTGGGGATCAAATCACCGGCTGCAAGAGCCAGACAGGGAGACTCTGCCCTAACGGCGAAGTCAGCCCGTGCCACGAGAAAGCACAGTGCATCGTGGAGCGGGACGGCTCCATCTCCTGCGCGGTAAGGCCGAGCCTCCCTGCCCTGCGATCCGCTCGCTGCCGTTTCTCCTGCGCTGTGCTCGCTCTCCCGGGTCTGCCACTGCCCTCTCCTGGAGAGCATTGCCTTGTCGGCTCCCAGTGCTCCCTGCTGACACCTGGGCTGCGGCGATCTCCCTGGGTGACCTCAGGGGTGTGCGCTGCTCCCGACACCTCAGATTCTCTGTGCTGTTAGTTTGGGTTTGTTTGCTGTTTTTATTTTGTTCTTGTTTTCAATTGTTTTAAGCGCTTTAAATCTTAAGTCTTGGAGCATTACTCGCAGCTGAAAAAGCAGACAAACCATTCAATCTCCTGATCCAAAGTTCTGCTGATGCATCTGTCCGTATGATCTTAGAAACAAGCAGAGAATTGTATTTGAGTTACTTGAAAATGCCATTTTCAGCTGAAGTGTCTCTTTCAGGTGACATTTCACCTGTAGAGCATTGCGTATCTGGCTTTGCAGTGTGTTCTGCTGGTTCTCATGCAAAGCCTTCAGTTTTGGAAGCATTACCCCTACCAGGGGACTCACCAGCAGCCTCGCTTCGTTTATCTGCTCTCTTCCAGTGCCTTGTGGGGTGGGCAGGGAATGGCTACATCTGTGGGAAGGATACAGACATTGATGGAGTCCCTGATGAAAAGCTGCGCTGCTCTGACAAGAAGTGCCGCAAGGTGAGGTGCAGTTCTCACAGATTTAGTTAGAAACAGTCCATCATGGGAACGCTGAGCCAGAAGTGGGTGATTCCTATTTGAGGGCAGGCCTCACCCTGCCTTTGATGCTGTTGAAATCCTGCTCAGCGTGCAGAATTCAGAAAGGTTCCATGGCATGCACAGCTTGGCTGCCTGCCCTGCCGCTTCATCCTTCCTTTCCTTTCAGGATAACTGCATGACTGTCCCCAACTCTGGCCAGGAGGATGCAGACAGGGACGGAATTGGAGATGCCTGTGATGATGATGCTGATGGAGATGGGATATTAAATGCCGAGGTTTGAATTCTACAGCTTATTCTGTCACACCCAAATACACTGAGAGGTCCTGCAGAGCAAATTGCCTGCAGCTTTAATGTGAACACAGAGAGCCCTCAGCAAATCCCCCTCTCCTGCAGGACAACTGCGTGTACACCCGCAATGCAGACCAGCGCAATGCAGACAAGGATAACTTTGGGGATGCCTGTGACAACTGTCGCCAAGTGAAGAACGATGACCAACGGGACATTGATGGCGATGGGAAAGGAGATGAGTGTGACGATGACATAGATGGAGATGGTAAGAGCAGCTGCAGCTGTACCGATATCAGAACAAGACAGCTGGTCAGCATGAAGCTGTAGATCCTCGTAACAGGTACCAGCACTCAGAGGCTTAAAGAACTTCTTTCTGCTGGCATGAAGGACACTTCTGTTTTTAAAACGTCCAGATGAGCAGTCAAGCCAGTATCCTTTAGAGTTCAGTTCTCGTAGGGTTAAAGTTCTATCTTCAGGATGATGCTAACAATTTTTCATAGCACTTTTATTGTATGCAGTTAAAGCCAAACTTGTTTCAGGCTTCAGAAAGATGAACGACACAAACTGATGTCAGCCCGGACAAGGACAGTACTTTGTGCTATGATTTCAACTTGTGAAGAAGTGTAGGGCTATCCAGGTTGTTAGAAGCTGCTGCCTCAGTGCAGTGTGTGTCAGGGCTGCGTTCTGGGAGAAAAAACACCACCACTGGCTGCCTTCAGGAGCAGTCTGTGAGCTAGTGATGCTGTATTTGCACAAAGCCTGCTTTCAAAAGCCAAAAATCACAATGGCTGCTGGCCTGAAACATACATATTTATTTACAGATTATTTCCAGTGCATCTAGTGCTGTTTGGGTCTCTCTACTTCCTGCCAAGTAGCTCCCTGCTGGCATGATCTGCTGGTGTAGTAGGTAGATGCAGGGAAGTGGGAAGTGAAGTCATGCAGCTTACCAATTAGGTCGTTCCTTTCCTGTCTCAGGCCTTCAAAAGACACCGTCTAAATCTTCCATGTCAAATAGCCAAGGTTAACTTGGACTTGTTCTTTAATTATGTAGACGTCTAGTTTAGAGAAAAGAGAATCTGTCATAGTTTAGGGAACCGCAGACAGCTTCATCGTCACCCTCCTGGCCGCTCATTCCTGCACAGCTCCAGGTTGGAGTCGCATTCCTCAGTTCTTCAGCTCTTCCTCAGGAATGCAGTCAGGGACATTTCCTCTCAGGTTCCTGTATGGACAGCAGCATGCTTAGTGTCTGTGAGGATGCAGTCTGCAGTATGTTTTAAGGTCAGCTGCTGCTGCTGTTGGCCTTCCTCCATCAAGTCAAAACCGTTGCCTGATTGCACCGATCCAGCCATTTGTCACCTCTTACATCCCAAAGAGATCTTGCTGCATGTACTGGAATATTGGCTTGATGGGTTCTCTGCATGTTTTACAGGAATCAAAAATCCAACGGACAACTGTAAAAGAGTTCCTAACCCTGATCAAAAAGACACTGATGGTGATGGAGTAGGAGATATGTGCGACAGCTGCCCGACAGTCAGTAACCCAGACCAGGTAAGGAAGCACTTCCACATTTGCAGTGTTACAGCTTTCTCTCACTCCAGACAGTGCTCACACCATCTGCCTGAAGTAGGTTTGGAAAGACAGACACTCAGAGTCATCAGGACAAGGTGTAGGCACTCTCCCACTGTTGTGAGCTCCGTTTCCAATCTGAACGACAATGCCAACACCTCTCTTCTTTCTCCTTTAAAGCCCAATTCTCCCACTCACCCATGTTTAAATGATTCTCGCTTTATTTTCCCAGAAAGATACTGATCATGATCTCGTGGGAGATGTCTGTGACACCAACCAGGACAGGTGAGATCTTACTGCAAATATTGTACTTGAGTTGTATGGAATTTTGGGGACACAGGCATGGAAGGCATGCATCAGTAAACACGACAAGTCAGCTTGGCCTTAATTTGTGTCTTTTTATTCAAACAAGGGAGGTGGAATTTCCTTCTAACTTCAGAAAACTTGCTCCTGGAAGTAGCAAGCCCAAGGCCTGGCAGCTGTGAGCTTGCTGACAGCAGCTTGCTTTTCATTAGCTGCCCCCACAAATTTGTTCATGGACTACAGCTGGAATATTTCTGATCTATTTGTTTGTGCAACTAATAGCTCAAGACATTAAAAGGCCAAATCACCAACTGCCCCTGTTCCTGTAGAGGATCCCAGCTGCTAGAAAGGGCATGCAAGCTTCTGGGGGAAAACAAAGTAAGTGGAAGCTCTTTAGCTGTACAATGCATTTTCTTCCCCAGCGATGGCGATGGCCACCAAGACACAAGAGATAACTGCCCCTCAGTGCCTAACAGCTCCCAGGTGGACACAGACAATGACGGACTAGGAGATGAATGTGATGACGATGATGACAATGATGGGATTCCAGATGAGAAACCCCCAGGCCCTGACAACTGTCGGCTTGTCCCTAACCCTGGCCAAGAAGATTCGGATGGTAAGGGAAACGTAATCACATCAGCTGCAGGGTTCTCCTTTCCTAGAGGCTGATATGTAGGAGCTTGACCTTCAGGTGGGCAGGAAGTAAGACCTCCCCAGTACTGACTTGAGACAGTTCTACATCATTTTCAAATCGAATAACACTGACATCAGAAAGATATTTGGGAAAAGTTCTCTTCCAGAAGTACCTACAGTGTGAGGTGCTGCTCCTCTTCATAGCTTTCCTACAAGCAGGAGGTGGTGTCAGGGTTTCTTCCCTGCTGACAAAAAGGAGGAGCGCAGCCATGCTCTGAACATCTCTTATCCTTGTATAGACATGTCTTCCTTCAGCTGTGCTAGCCAAAAGCTAGCTGAGTAAAACTTAGGTGCAAAGGGTAGGGGAAATTGAAAGCTTGCTTATTCTGTTGTCTCTCTCAGGTGATGGTGTGGGAAATCTTTGTGAAGAGGACTTTGACAGAGACATGGTGATTGACAGAATTGATGTGTGCCCAGAGAACGCAGAAGTGACGCTAACTGACTTCAGGGCTTTCCAGACAGTCGTGCTGGACCCTGAGGGTGATGCACAGATTGACCCCAACTGGATTGTCCTTAACCAGGTAGGACACTGCTCCAGAACTGGGCAGCAGGTGTGGTGGTAGCAAGCCTGTACAAAATTGGATGCAGTTTTCATTAAAAGCATGCAGGCCTGATGCCTCTGTTCAGTAATGCCCTGGTCGTAGATAGAGGCCTACCTCTGGGGTACCTCTCTGCTCATTTAACAAGAGGGTTGGAGATGCTAATTAGACAACCTTCATCTTTCACAGGGCATGGAAATTGTCCAAACCATGAACAGCGATCCTGGCTTGGCTGTAGGTGAGGCACTTATTTTTGTCCTATTAAAGAATTATTGTGCACTTCACAGCACAGCTTTTAAAACTATTTCAGATGCTGCATAATGATCCCATGTATCCTGGAAAATATTGTTTGCAGTAAGCACTCTTCAGATTTAGCTTAGTAAAGTCTACCACCCCCATCTGAATCTGGGGAGAAACGGATCGATGTTTTACCTCAGAACGCAGAGATTTTGCTTTCCTACCAACTGCAGGTTACACAGCATTCAATGGAGTGGACTTTGAGGGCACATTCCATGTCAACACTGCCACAGATGACGATTATGCTGGCTTCATATTTGGCTACCAGGACAGTTCCAGCTTTTACGTGGTCATGTGGAAGCAGATGGAGCAGACATACTGGCAGGCAAACCCCTTCCGAGCAGTCGCAGAACCTGGTATTCAGCTGAAGGTAAAGAAAGCACTGAAAAAGAAATCAGCAGTGGATTTTGGTCTTTCTTAGCTGTGCTTCGATGCACGCAGTGGGGCAGCAGCTGTGGGCAGCTCTTTATCCACATTCCACCACTCTTCTCCACGTTAGGCAGTGAAGTCCAAAACAGGCCCAGGTGAGTATCTGCGCAACTCCCTCTGGCACACTGGGGACACCACAGACCAAGTCAAACTGCTGTGGAAGGACCCCCGCAACTCCGGCTGGAAGGACAAGACGTCGTACCGCTGGTTCCTGCAACACCGGCCTCAGGTTGGATACATCAGGTGAGGGGTTCCCAGCCTTCTCTGCATGGCTGAGCAGAAGTTCAGCACGGAAAGCAAGCATCTCCAGTGCAGTTCTGTGGTAAAGAGGAGGCAGCGACTGGGGAACCATTTCTGTGAGTGCCTCAATCTCGTCTCCATGTCCCACACGCCTGTTCTCTCTAGAGCTCGCTTCTATGAAGGCCCCGAGGTTGTAGCAGACACTGGAGTTGTCCTTGACACAACTATGCGAGGAGGGCGCCTGGGAGTCTTCTGCTTCTCCCAAGAGAACATTATTTGGTCAAACCTGCGCTACCGCTGCAACGGTGAGTTGGTTGTGAAGGTCAAACACAGGAGTTGCTGCCATTTGGCTTGAACAAGTTCATCTACGGTTGGAGTAGGGAATATCAAGCAGTAGCCTAACTCTACTTTTCATTTCTGCTCCTAATCTGTATTTGCTTTTATCTCCTTAGATACCATTCCAGAAGACTATGAAACATTTAAAGTTCAGCAAGACTAACCTGACTTTTAAATGTCCAACAAAATCTGCTTATAAAAAAGTGCTCAGCTGCCCCACTGTTGCCTCTGGTATACTGTATAAAGAACTGTAAGTCATATACCACTGCACTCTGCACAGCACCAAGTGTCACTGCACTATCTGGCATGTTTCCTACAACAGCAACTTTCCTGTAAATGCTACCAAATCCTCTTGGAACAGCAGAAGCACAGACGTCAAGTGTGCCTCGAAGCCTGTGCTGCTGTTCTCTGCACTACGTGGAGAAAGATGTGCTGAGAAGCTACTGCAGTAGCTGAATGGTTTGACTAAGATTAGCGTGGATGATTCCCTGGACTTTTTTCCCCACTCCAAGGCTCTCAAATGTAAATGTTGTCTTTTTCGACACCTACTAAAGCAAACCCAGCACGAGTCTGAAAGGGTCACAGAAAGCCAAGTCCAATGTCCGAGTTGCTCACAAAGTATTAAAAAAAAACAAAAAAAGCACTTTAGGGAGAGTATCTTTGTTCTGGAATGTTGGATAATAAATACTCTAATAGACTTCTCCTTGGTCACGTGCACGCTGCTTTTTTCCTCTTCTGAAACTTTTCCATTGCTGATACGTAAGAAAGAAACCCTCAAAAGCTGAATGCGAGAGGATGGCTGGAGAGCCTCAGCTGAATTAATGGTTCTGTTAGCAATAGGAACACACAGGGAGAGTTTTTTCAGTCAAGAAGCTTCCTCTAGCTAGACCATCCCACCTCGTTCTTGCAGATAAGCAGCAGCAGCTGATTTCAGACTGATAAGCAGAGGCCTTACACTCAGTTTGTGTTATGACACCGTGCCAGAACTCCAAGGAGCAGCCGAGGACGAGGGAAAGCTGAAGCCATCCCTACTAAGAGGGGCTCACGTGGGCTGGGTGCAGCAGAGGCTCACAAAGGGCTTCTGCAGTTGGTAAGCTGGAAAGTCTGAAGTCCTGCAGTTCTGAGATCTCAGTCTCGTCCAGCTCAACAGTTACCAAGCAGCATTAAAAAACAAAGGCCCCGTTTTGCTAGATGTTTCATGCAAGCAGCTCACACCAGTTATACTGAAACTTATGGGTTCATCAGAAAGGCAGCTCCTGCTGAACACTTCAGTGCAGTTTTGTAAGCTAGAATGAGGCTGCATGGCAAATGCTGCTCCTGGTTACCATCCAGTGCAGCTTCTGTGACATGGAACCAAACGAGCAAGGTGTGAACAGAGCTTTCCTCCTGCACAGCTCGTGGCTAAAAGCACGTTTCACCAAGCCCAGGTCTGCACAGCACAGCGGAGTTGAGCTCACACTCAGGAGGCAGCAGCACGAGCAGAGATGTGCAGGAAGAACCCACTGGTGTAACTGGCCCTAAAGGCTGCTGGCTGATCGCAGCGCTTGCAGGACATCTCCATCCACCATTCCAAGGTTGTCACAAAGACACACACTGAGTTTTCCTTCTTCCACAGGCAGCCATGCAAATGAGCCAGCCCAAATTACAGCCAGCCCCAATTAGACACAGCAGCTCTCAGCACTCAAGGAAAGCTCCGTAGCTTCTAAGAAACCACTTCCAGCACGGCGTGGCCACAGGTGGTGCACAGATTTGTTTTCCATAGCTGTCAGAAGCCAACTAACCCAAATGTCTCACTGTTTGTTTGTAAACACCAACAGACCGACAGTGGAAACCTTCAGACCAAAAAGCAAACAAGGAACACAACAAGAAAAAGCAAAGCAGCCAGAGACAAAAACATTTCAACTTTTATTACATTTCATTTACAAATAATGCAAAGATACAAAGACAAAAGCCTTCACACAAAAAAGAAAAGGTTGAAAAGAATGTACATTTAGTTGAGCTGCTTTTTCACATCATTTCTCAGATTGCAAACACTTAAAGCCAACTTCAGTTTTCCACTTTACCTATAGAAAAAACACAATAAATAAAACTTTTATGTCGCAGGGACAATTTTTCCAGCGTTCCTGTGCCACCAACACTGTAGCTGAATATAGGATTGCATATATCAGTGAAATAATCCACAAATTAGTTTAATAGAAAAAGTTAACTTGTAAAGAACAGTATATTATACTGTCTCTGAAAATGCATAAATCCGACGTTTTTTTCCCAAGCTCAACGAACGACATAAAGTTGTTTTTAGCTGCCAGTCTGTGAGAGAAGCTGCCAAAAGCAGCTGTATTTAATTTGATTAAAATCCAACCTCCCCTCCTAAGCACTGTCACACTGAACTTCCACTTCTTCTACGAGGAATCCCTCCACACGTGGGGGCTCTGTTCAGGTAACAAGAAAAAGCTGCTAGAAGTCCTAATTCCTCCCAAAAGAAAACCTCAGTATCTACTGCCTTATTAGTTAATAGCTGGCTGGAATACAATATTTCAATTGCTACGCTGTATAACGCTGAGCAGAGATCAGTGGATGTGCGATACTGAGATGGTCTGAAGGACGCCCAGGATCAGTGAGTGATGCAGTGCTGTTGAAGCAAGCCCTGCCCCAGCGTCCAGCTCCATCCGCCTGACCACGCAACTTCATGCTCATCAGTTCCACCTGCTCATCTTCCCTGCGTTTCATGTCTGCTGGATCCCCAGGCTGAGCCACCTTAACCCTTTCCTGCCAGACAGAGCCTTGCAACGTCGCACGTAAGCGAAGGTGTTTGCTAACTGCTGCTTTTCTGCCTTGACCGAGAGCCAGAGCAGACGGTGCCGCCTTCAACGCTCGCCCTCTGCAGAGCTCAGCTCCGTTTCTGGACGCTGGCGTCCCGTTCCTGAAGGGAACACTGACTCTCCATCGCTACGGCTGCAGAACGCAGTTCTCAAATTGGATTTATGAACTGGGACCTTCTGCCCCTTTTTCTTTTCTAAACCACAGCATAAAAACTGAGTGCTGACCGATGCGCAGGACGTGCAAAGGAGCCATTTGGCCGCACAGACACTGCAGCTCAGAAGGCAGAACGAGATCAGCACTGTGAGCAGAGCCTATCAGAGCCAGCAGCACATCTGCTTTGTGCTGGACCCACAGATGTGGCACACCCAGAACCTGCCCCCCTTCCAAAGGTTCGGTCGGTGCTATTCCCAATACAAACCCCTTCGCACGAGCTGAAGCCTCATCCCAGACCTCCCCTCACCAAGCGTCAGTGGTGACAATTTAAGCTTCTTTTGCACATTCAGCTGCAGGATGGACCGACCTGCACAGGTCTCAGATGGAGCAGGGGGAGATCTGTGCCCGCTCTGCAGCCCTCAATTCCCACGCAGAGCTGCGTGCTGCATCTGCTCCATCTGCCCGCGTTTGTTTGTTGAAGGCTATTCTAAAGTGGGCCAGGAGATGAAACCTGGATCACATTGGTTTAACTGTGTGCCCCCCAAAGCCTCCTGGGGTTACGTAAACGTGGAGCAGGAGCACAGTGCCGCAGGTCAGCGCTCTGCTCTCCAGCACACAAACACCCCTGGTCCCCATCGCTGCAAGGCCACCTCGCTCTCATTTGCCACAGTCAAACTAAGAAAGACACCACAAAACGGGATCCAACGTGTGTTAACAACCCAATGACTTCAACAGAAAAAAAGCCACACCAACATGAACGTGTCTGCTAAGCCACAGCTGGGGGAGGCCGGGCGCGTCTGCTTCTTTTGAATTTGCTCATTGCAGGGGGGTGGGTGGCACGGACAGACAGACAGCGTTCCTCCAAACAGCATCCAGACGAGCTCAAAAACACAACAAAGCAGCGAAACGCAGCACAGCTCCAGTCTATGGTGGGAGGTGACCTGGCTGCCACTCCTCAGCAGCTCAGCGCTGCTCAGTCCCAACCATCGGCTCAAAGCAAAGGAAAATTCATCAGGACCCACACAGCACAGACAGAACCCAGCGCCCACCCCGACCCTGGCAGGCAGCAGCAGAACCTCTTCAAAGCAGCAAACAATTGGTGACAGCTGATATCAACACGTCCACACCGAAACAAGCCCTACAACGCGTGCCCTGCTTCAGTGACGGAGCACAAGGGAAAGCGATGGCAGAACAAAAGCGGTCTGTGCCAGCACAGTGCCACAGCATCACTCATCAAAACCCATCAAACCCATCGGCTTTGTTGGAACACAGCAGCAGCCACGAAGGGGAAACAGCATCTGTCTGCACAGTTACATCGTAAAAGAAAAAAGGGGAGATTGAGGAATTTGTATGAGCTGAAGGCAGGAAAATTAAGGAGTAAAACAGTCAAACCTATCATCTCCACTGCCATCCTATCATCTGCTGTAAGAGCCGTCTGAGGTGCTGTCACTGCTGTGTCTCACTTGTGTGACAGCGATGGCAGAAATGCCATCAGAAGAAGAGCAGCGAGGAAAACACCTCAGATCCCACAGAGATCCATCCCTGCAGCCCTGCTGGCCGCAGCCGCAGCCCAGCACCGAGGGCTCCCTGCGGACAGGGGGACGCTTGGCAGCAGAACAGAGCTCTGCTCGCATCTGTCAGACCTTTCCTCCAAGGCAGAGGCAGAATATGAGAACAAAACGTTGACTGCTGAATGAACCAAACGGTGCTTTTTGCCAAATCGCTCCGCTTCCTCAGCTGACACCAGGCTCCTTCCCAGCAGTGCTCACAGCTGCGCCCCCACTGCAGAGCAGCGCTGCTCCAGAGCCCTTTGCTACGGCTGAACCCGGAATGCGGTGACCGGGAAGGCTGAAATTCAGAGAGAAGTTCAGAGCTACCCAACAAATCACCCAGGAAATGGCAGAGGGAGCAAGAGCCCAACAGCGAACACAACGCGCCGGGCCAAGGAGATGCGCTGCACCTGGAACCTGAGGACGGGAGGACGCACAGCCGCCGTCCACAAGCAGCTGCAGGGGGAAGCAGACGGCTGCTCCGCTCCTGACTTCTGGTCTCATTACCTTCACCTGCAGAAATCCACAGCGCTCACAGACTCTTCCCATCCCTAAAGCAGAGAACCTGCAACAAGCAAAGAGCGAAGCCATCGCCACCAGCAATGGGAGAGGAGAAGAGAGGAGGGAGAGGCTGCGCTGCTCCCAGGAGAACGCGGTAAGAGCTGAGCCCAGGCTCCCTGCAGCCACTTCCCACACCTTCCCTTCTGCACCGACTCCCCAGCACTGCTCTGCTACGCGCTGCCCCTCTGACAGCACGGCTCCACCTCCCAAAGAAACCAGGCAGTGCATTTACCCCTTCAGGCCTTTATTTTGATAAAATCGGTCAAGCCCACATAAGGCAATATACACCACAGTTCAAACTGCCCCCCTCCCCCCGGTGGAAAATAAAATAAATAACACAAATGAAGAGAGTACGTAATGTAGTGTTTCGTTCTGCAGTATAGAAATTCCACACAATGATTCCGTTTAAAAAGGTAAAAATGATTTATAGTACACAGTAATCATGTCATCGTGGTGCCCGCATAGAAAACCGACATGCAATCCATGCCTACACTGCGCAGTATAAATAAGATGCAACTAGAAATACAAAGGACAGGAACACTACAAATCAGCGTTAGGTTTTTTTTCCCCATTTGGGTTTTTCTGTTGTTGTTGTTTTTCTGTTTTTTAAAAAGAACACAGACGGAACAGACGCTACCTGCGCTCTCACCCTGCCATCACAGTGACGGGGGCTCTGCTGCCCACAGGAATGCATGCTGTGCTCCCGGCCCGGCTCTGCTCTCTGCCCAGGGGGCATCGGCCCCGGAGCCCCTTTGAAGGGCGCACAGCTGGGCTGAGCAGAGCAGAGCTCAGAGGGCGGCTCGCTCTCGGTTGGTCCGCAAACACTTTTGCCGAGCGGCTCTCAGGAACGCTTCCTCAGAAACCCTTTTGTTTGTTTGTTTCGTAAAGGTAACAAAATACACAAAGGGTCGAAATCCTCCTTCGGTCAACTGACAGCCTCTGTCTGGAAACCTTTCTCCCCCCTCCTCTTTCAAAGAAGAAAAACGGGACCCGCAGGGGTTTTTCTGTACAGAAGGGTTTGCGGCTGAGCGCGGGCGAAGTGCTGCTGCCATGCAAAGCCGGAGCGCGGGGTGGGACGGGGCTGCGCTGCCACACGGCACAGGGAGCTGAGCTGAGCCCGAGGAGCCGCCGCAGGGCCAGCAGGGCCCCCGCCTGCAGGAGCAGCGCAAACCTGGATTTCTTTTGAAGGTCACAGTATTCCATACACTGAAAGTTCGCTCCTATGGATCCCCCGTTCATCGGCAAACGCAACAGCCCAGCTGGGGAGCTCTCTCCATATACTGATATAAAGCACGCTGCACGGAGGGGCCGGGTTCATTCAGCAGGGACGTTCAGATGGGAACTCTGACCCCACACAGCTTTGGGGTTATTTAACTGAACGAGGTCTAAATGATAGCGGCAGCTTTTTGCTGCACGGCTTCTCCTCCCACTCTGACATCCGAGGGCAGCAGCTCCCAACGCTCCCACGTTTGAGCTGAGATCAGAGCTCACAGCTCGTGAACCACAACCACCAACCAGCGCGGCTCCCCTCCGCGTTTCCACCCCCAGCTCCAGGGCTGCTCTCACGCACGCAGTGGCAACGCAGATCAGGAGGGGTGGCAGCCCCTCAGCACAGCGCTCAGTGCTGGGACCTCATCCTCCCCTCCTGCAAGGAAGGAACAAATCCTGCACCTCTCAGCCACGTGGTCCCGAATTTGGACAGTTGCATCCAGATGTGATTTTTGTTGTTGTTTTTTTAAATTAAGGCCATTTTAAATGTCTACTTACAAGTCTAATAAACAAGATCTCTTATATACACGTGTAGTTTAAAAAAAAAACACCTCAGAAGGTAGCATTTAGCAACAGCTCCCTGTGAAAGTCTCCAGTTAGGAATCTCATCTCCATTCGGAAGTGACTGGTTTTAAAAAAATAGATCACAAACGAGAACCGACATGCAAATGTCTAAGAGTCATTGGAACGAGAGAGCGACACGGACAGGAATCCCACCGAGGAAGGACAGAACTGCAAGGGACACGCGGACGGCGAGGAGCAGCTCCCATCTCCCCCCACACCGCACCTCTGCGGCCGCCCCAAAGCACTGGGCTCCGCAGCAGCGATTTGATGGGACTCCTCCCAGTCGGCGCCGCCCTTTGGTTTTCTCACATTGAAAAAAGCATCAGCGACCCGAAGTGCGGGCGCTGGGAGTTGCGGCGCAGGGCGCGCGTCCCGACAGCCGCTGCTGACAACGGGGGGGATCTTCCAGTTGCAGAGACGGACGCGGGGAAGCGATGGAAAGAAAAACATGTTTAGTGCAAATGGTCCAAACGAACGGCACCAAGGCGAGCAAACGGCCCGGCACACAGATCCCAGCGGCGGCTCCGCGCTGCAGCGTTTGCACGAATGTCAGGACGGCGTCCCGCTGATTTCTGGAAGCACACAGAAATGTGTATAACTCATTAGGAGCAGGGCAGCCCCCGAGCAGCTCCAAACCCCAACGGGAGCAGGGAGAAGCGCTGCAGGGCTCTGCTCAAAGCCGGCAGCAGCTGGCAATGGACGAAACGCAAAGCTCTGAGTGCACGCAGAGCAGGCCTGGGCTGGGCAGTGCCAGCAAGGAACACGGCTGTCTGGGAATGGCAACTACAAGGGCTCCTTAATTGAGGTGCTTTAATTTAATGTGAGCCTTCCGCCCCTCCTGCATGGAGCTGCCCCTCGCTGCCTCATTCACCACAGACAGAATGGTTGCTTTGTTAATGACACCCAAATAATGCCAGCTCCAGCTCCTAACCTTGCTGAGGAGGGGCAGGCGCTGAGAGCCCAGCACGGCGCCTCCTTCGCTGTCGCACCAACAGCGCCAGCAGCGATGCTCCCAAAGAACCTTCCAACACATCTTTCCAACCAGGCAGAGCCCTGGAGTGCAGACAGAACCTCTGCAGCTCATCAGCTGCACAGCAGCACGGCCAGCGGGCAGCAAAGGACGCTGTAATGCAGCGCCCAGCCGCACCGCAGCAACGAGGACCAACAGGAGTCACCTGCTGTGGTCACCAGGAGCCCAAGGCGCTGCTGGGCGCCCGCTGCCCGGCTGTGGGGGGCTGAACAGATTCACCCCACGCTGAAAGGAGCCCCTGCACCCCGACTGCTCTGCTCCAGCACGGCGGAGGGAACCCTCACCCTCGGCTCCCTGCTGCTCAAGGTCCGTTTAGAATTCCAGTTAGTTAAAAATACCTATATATATATAATATATATAATATATTTCTGGAATAAAAACACAAAAAGATGTACAAGTATTACATAGAGTGCTTCAGTTGGCGGTATGTAGTTCAGCTACTTTGCTAATATCCAAATACTTAAATTAAAAAAAAAAAAAAAAATCATAAATAACGGTAACAGAATAAGTAATGGATAAGAATAAAAAATAAAACCCAGTTGTGGTGATTTCAGCCGGGCACTGCTGGAGAAACGCCCCTCTGCTGCCCAAGAGCCCCTCACTGAGCAAAGCCAGACCTCTGCTCTGCGCCTGCCCTCCTGCCTGCCTCCAGCTGCTTCAAAACGCCCCGTTCCTCCCTCCGTGCTCATCAAGTAATGAATTATAGTACTTTCTTGTGTGCTCAGAAATGCCATATATATGTATACATATATATAAATATATATATTACATATATATATCTCTTTTTTTAATTTTTTTTAAGAAAAAAGCTTTGAAAATAGTGTTTACAGTCGCCGGCTGCCAAGGCCGCGGGGCGGCTCCTCCGCGCGCAGTTTGCTCAGGGCAGGGAGGCAGAAGGACGCGAGGAGCCTGCAGACAAACATCGACCAAGGAAGAAGCGCTCGCCCTACGAAGCAGCTGGCACAAAGCAGAGCCACAGCTCCCTGCCCCCCCAGAGATTTGCTTCCCGACGCGTGGGGGACGAGGGGGCACCGCCGGGTGCCTCCCCCCCGCTCCGACCACAGCCACAATTTGGTTCGGTAGAGAGAATCAATTTTCCCTTGGCTGCGGACCCCCCTCGCCTGCCAGGAGCCCCCTTCTAGTGCAAAGGTAAACTGACAACGCCGGAGCTTTGGTGGGGGAGGGGGGGCTCTGGAGAGGAGAAGGCTGAGGAAACTCCTTGCTCGTTAATGGCGATGAGTGGACAAGGGGCGAAATACGGCGCGACAGGGAGCAGGGGTCTGCAGCGCTGCAAGCTCAGAACAACAAGCTTTACTCATTGTACACGGCGCGCAGGACGGAGCTCCGGCTCTCGGCAGCCCCGGCTCTGCCACGACTGACCCACGGCCTCTGCTCCGGCTGATCCAGGAACGACCCCCGCTGCCGAGCTCCCGGCGCCCCACGTCACAGCCGGTCCATCCGGAACGTGTCCTCTGTGGCGGGGTCGGTGAGGACCATGTCCGGGTCGTTGAGCATGTGCAGTCCATCCAGGGTTAAAGGGTCAATTTTGAGTTCATCCAAAGGAAACTGGGAATCGGCGTCGAAGCTGACGTCGCCCACTCCTGCCAAAGAGCTGGTCAGTTCTTTCGATAAGCTGGGAGGAGATTCTCCTGTCACTGCGGGGAAGAGGGACAGAAAGGCAGCGGCGTTGGCCTCATGTATCCTCCAGGCACGACATTAAGACACAGCAAAAAAAAAAATACAGAGCCAGCCTGGTGTAATTCCCGAACCATTTACTGAGCTGCAGCTCACACAAATCTGTCCTCGTTTCCAGCCGGATGAACTACAGATCTGTCAGAGCACCTCGATGACACAACACAAAGCAAAACTCATCTAAGTGCATCTGGGGCTACAAAGGGACAACGCTCGGGGCTCTGCTCTCCTTTGCTTTAGGAACAATTAGCTCAGTTTGCATTATTCTCATCAGTATGAGCCCCCGGCTGAAGGAAGGATTCAACTCCAGCTTTTTCAGTGACCTATGCAGAAACTGCTTCCAAATGTCCAACTGTGACCAGATTCTCCACCGTATGGAACACTGAAATAATCCCTGCCGGCAAGTTCGGGCAGAGGAAGGAGCTCAGCTCTCGTGGATGCGTGAGCCAGCAGGGGGGCGCTGCGCCGATGGCAGGGACGGAGCAGGAGCCCCACAGCCGGGAACTCAGCGCCGACACGAGCTGAAACCGAGCCCCAAAGAGCAGCGACACCCAGCTCCTGCCCAGCTCTCCCCAGCCAAGGCAGCACCGCGCAGCCGGGCTCTGCGAAGCGCGGCGTTTGCTCACCTGTCAGGATGATGTTGGGGATGTTCCCGTGGCTGGAGTAGCTGAGCTGCGGCGAGTCCTGCAGGCTGCCGTGGCTGCCGGTGAGGCCCATCATTGCTGCCTGGGAGTAGTTAAGCGTGGAGCAGGGGCTGTACAGGCTGTTGGAACTAATGGCGTTTTCTATCATGTTAAACTGTTCGAGCTGAAGACCAAGGCACAAAGGAATTGTTACTTCCAACCATCGGGAAAGGCAGCAGAAATAACTTACAGAGCTCAAGGATGGGAAGGGGTGTGAAGAAAGGCAGGCAAACAAATTCATCTTTAGGTTTGTTGGTCAAAATATTGGTGCAGCTTCACTTAACTCTCCAGAACACTTCACTGCCAAATTGGGAACGTGGGGAAATGCCAAAATAAAGGCGGCGCTTTCGTGACTGTAAGCGGTAGCTTTAAAGCAAAGCAGGAAGGAAGAAGAAACAAAACCAATTCATGCTACCGCCTGGGGCCTCTGCCCGCCCAGCACCACCTCAGAGGCATTTGACCTGGAAGGCATTTTACCTGCTGCCAGAGCCTTGTCATTATTCCTTAGCCAATCAACTCGGCAGAACACATTTAGAAACATCTGCTATATTGGCTCAGAGGGAGGAATGGGGACGGAGAAGTTGGGATGGGGGAAGACAAGAGATCCCTACGTGTTGCAAAGGGAAAGTAAGAAAGTAAAATTAAAAGGACAGAGCGTGATCTTACACAGAATAACCAGTAGCTGAATTATATTTATTTTAAGCTGAAAGCGGCCGAGACAGCTGAAAGTCGGAGATGAATTTGCTCACCTGATGGGATAGGGCATTAGCCTGCCTAGCTGTCATCTGCTGATCATAATAGGAGTCACCAAATACACTCCCCAGAATGGAAGAATGCTGAAAACAAAACAGAGTCTTTATGGTGCAAAGGTCTCAGACAGAGGAACCCACGGCGTGCGAGCGGCCCGAGCCCACGGCCGGCGCCTCCCACTGGGCGCCGCTCAGCGCTCCCTGCAGAGCCAGCTGCGCCACGCAGCCCTGCGAGGGCACAAAGACACGACCAGGGACCCAACAAACTGCCTGGAGGACACACGACACGAAGCTGCTGAGGGACGAATGCAGACGAGCGCGTCGGGCCGCACGAGGAACACGGATCACCGCGACTGCGTGTGAAGGACAGCCTGCGTGCAATGGCGGCCAGCCCCGCGCAGGCCCAGCCCCGCAGCACCGCGCCGATCTCCGGCACGGCGCAGCCCTGCAGCTCCCTGCCGCAGCCCAGCTGCACTCTGCGCTGCAGCTGCAGATCAGAAGAGCCGCGGCGAAGCGCGACCGGCAGCTCTGTGCAAGCAGCCGGGCAGAGCTGCACCCCCTGCTGACTCTGCCGGTCCCTCCGGCAAGATGGAGCGACCAGAGCTGCGGGTCAGCGCTCCAACGCTGCTCAGCACTGCCCCGGAGCTGCCACAAAGCAACGACTCCTGATCCACAACCACCAGCAGCCCACGTGGGGACGGGGCTCCATAAAACTGATCTGTGTGGAGACTCTGCTTAAGCCCTGAGGGGGAAAAGACAACAGAACATTTCACGTGGCGTTTTCCAGATGCTTTAAGCTATGTATCCAGGCTCCGAATCTTCTCCCTATGAGTACTGGCAGCATGTGACGCTAAGCTACAGCACCAGAGAGGCAATTCAGCTGCGGCAGCACAGGGAGAAGCGCTGAGCACAGCTCAGGGTGCTGGGATGTGGGACGTGTCCCCAACAGCACACAGAACATCTCACATCTCACGCTGCGTCCTCCTCCACCCACAGCACATCTCAGCTTACCTGCAGGCTGCACGCAAGGAGGGTGAGTTTGGTACAAAACTCCTCACGAGAGGAGAAAAGCAGGAAAGCAGCACTATAATATTCCTTTCAAAGCTAACAAAAGCCATCCTGCCTTCAGGCAGAACCCTTGGCCGTCCCATGAGAGTGTGGCCTCAGGGAAGGAGCGAGAGCTGCCAGATTGCTGTGACAGGAGATCACAGCAGGATTTCTCCGGAGGAAACGCTCAAACCAAATGGAGCCACTCTTTCTACACAGCCTGAGCCCTGAATACGGACAGAAATGAAGTCCCGACTCACTGCATTCACTTATGATCTGTCACAGCTACGACCGCAGAACTACAATGGGATCTTTGTGACTCAATGCCCTCCTCAGAAAGAGGTGAAAATGGCAAACTGCTGCTCCTGGGAGCGTCCTCCTGTCCTCCCAGGCGTCCCACTGCAGCAGCAGGGTGGAATCCAACTGCAGAGTAACAGGCACACGGCGCCTGGTGGCAGAAAGCAAAGCCCTCCTGCAGAAGCTGCACTTGATCATTAAACATGCTCTGCTTCATTACCACACTGATAAGCTGCCTGCTGCCCAGCTATCCTCGGATCAGCACTTCTGTGCTACTCCCACTCAGCCCCGTCCAGCTGACCATCCGTAACCCTGCAGCACAGCAGGACAGGCCCCATCCCCAGCGCTGCAGGGCTCTGCGAAGCCTGACGGAGATTTCTGTCTGTTCTGACAGAACTGCACTCAGGACACCGCTGCTCAGTGTGAACCAGAGCTGCTCTGGGTAACAGCTGTGCTTCCAGCACTGATCCGAGCGCTCCGAGGAGGACGGAGGTCTGGGTATTTTCCTGCCACCTCTCACATCTCTTTGGTGCAGAGCTTTAAGCAGGGCGCAACCTCAGACCTTCGCATCCTGCTAAGCGCTGCTCCCATCCCCAAAGCACTGGGAAACACCAAGAGCAACCAACAGGGAACAAACCCGCTTGTGCCAGCCTACATCCAGGCCTGCTAACCAAACTCACAGGCCCACGCTGCTTCTCAGCCCTGAAGCACGCCACTTGTTGCATTTGTAAGCACTGCAACTCCCAAAGGAAATCAACTGGAAATGTCATTACGTCAACACTGCGGAGTCCCGGGATAATTTACTGACAACTCTGTGAAGAACATCTTGCTAACACCACGTCCTACAGAAATGCTAGATGAGGTCTGTTTTGTCAACAGTTCATCTTCTTGGGTTAATGATGTGGTGACTGCAAGGAGAAAAAGAAAACAAAACCACAAACCCCTGGCTTAAATTATTAGCCGAAAAATACATACCATGTATGCAGCATTCAGCCATTCACTAAAAAATAAAGCAGATTTCTATCTAATTGGAATTGTACGCCAGGTGTTAGAGGAGGAAAGCACAAGCCACTGCCAGTGAAAAGCCATGCACACACAGAGCTGAGAACTACAAGCAGAGCTTTTCAATTTGTGTTGGAACAGGAAGACCTCCAGGTAACAAGCAGACAGCTAAAACACGAGAGCAAATCGATCAAGAGATGTGGAAAGATGAAAAGCAACTTCTGGTGAATGAACCGTACGTGGCATGGCACTAACACTGCAGTGGGAAGCTGCAGGATGAGTTAACCTGGAAGTAATGGGAGAAAAAGGAGCGAGTGCTGTCCTGGCTGCACCTCCTTGACTGCACGCTCGTTAGCCAGAGGCAGACAGGGGGCAGTTCTGCTGCTGGAACCAACCTGCTGCTACTGCTCTGCAGATCTGACTACCTGGGAGCTGCCCCCATAATCACTACCTGTGGTTTGCTTTGTTCCTGAGCTGTTTTCTCTTCCCTCAGTGACAACAGGCTTCCCTCAAGGGCAACGAGCCTGTGGACAAAACCAAGAGCCACTGAGAAGTCAAAGGGGAAAGAAAAATCACGTAATCAAAACTTCCTGGGCTGCACAAGTGCCCTCCAGAGCTGGGAACACGCAGCAAGGCTGCCTGCAGCTCTGCTCCTCGTGCCAGCCAGCAAAATCAAGCTCGCTTGCTTCCTTTGAGGTGCAACAGGACTGCCAGAAAAAAAAAGTTAAGAAGCAATTAAACAAGGGTTAGGGAAAATGCAGACAGCCCTGACACCCTGCTCTATGCCGAGCTGACCACTGACCCTCCTGTGGCTGAAGACAAGGAGAAGGGCAGCTTCTGCTTCAGAACCACGAAGGGGCGGCACTTAATTAGACAGGATCCTCCTTACAGCCTGAAGCATTAAATCCTGAAGCAGAAAATGGATTTTCTGCCCCTGTTGTGATGCTCTGTAAGAATTCGGCTCGCCTTGTTCCTACAGGTGGGATTTGGGAACGGAGCAGCCCCACGATCTACTCACAAGCACCCCCTCTCCCTGCCACCCTCACCTGCAGCTCCTACACAACACTGCTCATGGGGGGATCTTCCTGCAGCTGCTGTCTGCCCCAAAGCAGTAACTGAGCGTTGCGGTGCCCCAGTAAGCAGCTTGGGTCAATGAAAAGGCAATTCACCAGCTACAGAAAAACTCTGGAACGGAATGAAACCGCACACGAGATGAGACATCAGTAATGCATGAGGCACACACACTCACAGTGAGACAACTATGGGTCAGTAATGGAGAGACTCAACTAAAACAGACACAAGAAGCAAGGCCTGTGGAAGCACAGAGTCCCTTACTTGAGGGGAGCTGCCAGGAGAGAAGCCTTGATTGGAGACAGGAGAGGTGGGAGACTGGTTGGCTGGGGAGCCAGCATTACTGCGGTACTGCTGGAGTGAAGCCTACAGAACAACACAGAATTAGAGACCATGGGCTTGATGGAAGGCTGGAAAATTAGCAACTTTTGGTGAACGCAGCTTGAGGAAGCTGGGAGAAACCGTCCTCTTCAGCACTTGTCAGCTCTACAAGGAGGCAAGATTGCTGTGAGTAATGCCACAGGAGGGAGAGCGAAGGGGTGAGCGCGGCACAGACCCTGCGCACGGCGCTGCTGCAGGGCAGCCCAACTCTTCCAATACTTTTTCTTTGTTCAGTTTCCAGTTAAACTCAATTTTGAGAAGTCTGGTAGATAGCAATCTGGGGAAAAGCAGTCTCAAAATCTCAGCATAACTTCATTTATTCTCTACTGTGTTTGCCATACGCGCACATTCCCACCTCGTGTTTACAACACACTCAGAGTCCGTCTCACATTACTCTGCCCTGTCTGAAATAGCCTGGCTGTGTCACCGAGATGGAAGCACATGTCTAACCACAAGGACTGAAATCCTCCTCGAAGCTGCTCTGAGCCCAGGACATGCAACACACGTCGTCTGAGAATTCCCACTGCATTCTGTGGGCTCACATCAGTGATACTGACACTGTTCTCAATCTTCCTGACAAAGCCTTTGCAGAGCTTTGCCTTTTTGGTTTTTTGTCACAGAGAATCCCCGACCTGAACAAATTACAGCTCTCCGAAGCATCTGAATAGAACACAGACAGCAAGAACAGCTCTTTGCACAGCACCCTACAAGTTAAGGTGATAAAGAACTTAAGGATGAGGAAAGCAACACAGAAAGCAGAGAATGGAAATCAGAATCACCTGTCCTGGTAGCCATGTGGGCATTAGAACACTGGGACAGTTTGAGTGCATTGGAATCCTTCCCACCACTGCTTTGTCCTTTCCCTTTAACCCTGGCATGAAAGCAGCTCCTTCCAAGAAGCATTTACCAGCACAGACTGTCAACATTTCCTCCACAAAGCAACCCACAACCTGTGCTCCACCATCACAGACTGAGCTCCTCCTGTTACCCAGCGGCTGCCAGGAGGGTCACACAACCAGACCTGGCAGAGCAGGGCAGTGGCCAGAGCACAGCTGTCCCCAGTTTTTAGGAGTGCAGGTTAGCAGCTTCTGTACCAAAGCCCCATGTGTCCATCGTGCTTTGGCTGTGCACTCATTTAACAGCCTGACAGCCTATCCTCACAGGACGTGCTATAGAATCATAGGATGGCCTGGGTTGAAAAGGAGCACGATGCTCACCCAGTTCCAACCCCCTGCTGTGTGCAGGTCGCCAACCAGCAGCCCAGGCTGCCCAGAGCCACATCCAGCCTGGCCCTGAATGCCTGCAGGGATGGGGATCCACAGCCTCCTTGGGCAGCCTGTTCCAGTGAAGCACTACAAGCACTGCTATCCACAGTTCAAGCTGGTCTCACCAAACAGAGCTGCAGGGAACACCACGTTAGGAAACTACAGCCACTGAGCACACGCTCTAAAGCCAACTGCTGTCTACAAAGCACCTGAAGGTGCATTAAATCGAAGCACTCTCAGTGCATTCAGACTGCACGGCACCACGTTTTCGGGACAGAAGTGCCACATTTCCAGCCCTGCCCCAGCTTACCGAGTTGATGTCTATTCCCATGGACGGCTGGCTCTGGCTCTGGCTGCCCGGAGGAGACTGCGGGATGGTGGAAGGTACTGTGACGGAGAGTGGGGGCAGCTGAGCTCCTCGCTGTAAACCAGAAGTCTGCATTAACGGAGTGTTCTGAGGCAGGCTGCTCACCACCTGGGGCTGCTGCTGCTGCTGGGAAGTCGTCTGGGTAAAAAACGGGTACGGGGGAAGCTGCTGCTCCAGAGACAACGCATCCATCGCCACGGCCTTCAAAAGAAGAATCAGAGTCACCCGGGCTGCCTGGGAACTCCCTCTAATTGTTGGACGCTCCGTCTCCAGGCACTCCTACCTGAGTGATGGGTGACAGAGGGGAAAGTGTAGGAGACATCTGCTGCGACTGCGGCCGCCTCGAGTCCGCGCTCAGCGACAGTGGGCTGACGTTGGGCTGCCGGTGCTGCTGGGATGGAGCTGGAGGTGTCATCCCTGCCAGGAAGGGACAAAGCAGCTCAGAGGGCAGCGGGGCAACGGCACATAGGGACAGAGGCTCCCTCTGCTGTGAAACGCATGGCGCAGATCGACAGCACCTCGACACAAAGCTGGCTGGTGTGCAATGAATTCTGTCAGGTTAAAGAGCATCGGGAAGAGAGGAAAAACCCCCAGGTTTATCCCAGACCTCAGCTGGTCACAGTCGGTCAGGACTGGGCAGACAGCAACTTGAAACTGCAATGGGCAGAGCAGCTCCAGAGCACTGCTCTGCAGAAACACTCGGAGCCATTCTCACAGGGAACTCAGGAGCAGCACCTTCTGCTCCATTTGTAGGAGCTCCAGCTTCAGGAAGAAGATAACGGATATGCAGTGAGACCAATCAGAGGGCACTTGTGATATAAAGAAATCCAAACGCCTATTTAATGGAAAGTGCAGAAGACAAACTGGTTACACAGGACGTACACCATTTTTAATGGCACACCAGCACACAGGGAGGCAGGAAATATCCCTCACGCTCTACAGAACCTTACAGGGGCTATGGGCACACAACTCAAGTAGTGCAGTTTTACTCCAATCCCAGACAAAACCTGCAAGTTTTGAAACCTCTCTATTTTCAGCCTCACCCAAGAGGAACCGAGGCACCCTGTAAAGCAATTCCAGGACAATCTCGCTAGTGAGCTTTTCTTTCAGAGCTGCCAGAAAGGAGGAATTCACAAAAACCTGAGAGCTCCTCGGCACTTGGCAGCTGCTCAAGGCTTCCAGGCAGGCTGCCAGAAAGCCAGGAAGCCCAGGCTGCCAAGGAGCCAGCAGGCAAACCGGCTCTCAGCGCGCTCCCAAGGCTGCCTGGCTTCCCGCGCGATGTTTGCAGAAATCAGCACTGCCTCCCGGGCCGTGTGAGCAACTGACAAACACACAAATGTGCAGCCTGAGCTGCTGGCAGCTCCTCACAACCCGACAGGTGCTCCTCCCCACCTTTTCCTGGGGCTGCCACAGGCCTGTCTGCACAGCACACAGCTCCTGCCACAGACCCAAAAGCATTTACGTGTTCAGCTAAAGATCTACAAGATAAGGAGAGGAAGGTTTGAGAAAATGGGTTTTAAAAAGCTCCACAGTGAGTATATCGTTGTTTAAACTACGGGACGGGGTCCAATGAGAAGCAGAAGCACCACCAGTGAGTGCACCCTGCTAATCCGCAGTATCTTCCGTAGATCAGGAAATGTTTTCAAAGCAATTACAAACCAACCCGTTTGGTTTTATCCCATTTACTTTGCTAATTGCGGGTAGTGAAAAAGGAAAAGAAAAAAAAAACAAACCAAACAAAAACCTCAGCAGCCCCATCTGGCCTCGCTCCGCAGAAGTTTGTCCCCTCCATGCACACTGCCTGCCTTCATGCACGCTTGCTGAGCTCTGCGTGAGCGACAGCTCATCTCCGGAGTGCTGTGCAGCCTGTTTGGAGAGCAGAAAGCTCACTGAACAGCACTGTGCTCCTCATTTGTGCTTAAACCTAACAGCTGAGCCACAGCACCACATTAACCCGATTAGAATTCTTTCCTTTCTCCAGTGTAAGAGCAGGTTTATAAGCAGGGAAGTAAATCCTGCCTAACACAGGAAATACACATCTGCTATTTTTGGACAAAGCACTTTTTTCCTGTTCTAGGAGTCAAGTGACTGCAGCCAGCACCAGCAATACAGCAGGTAACACAATGCACAGCTATTCTCAGGCAGAACCCAGTGCAACAACGAAACAAACAGCAACCAGCACTTCAGGCCGTTTGCTTCAGTTAACAACTCCTGACATTATCTGCTACTTCTTAAGAATCAAACTTCAGAACTGCCAAAGCCCAAAAGCCCCAGCAAACACCGCTCAGCCCCACTGTGCTGAACTGCTGGGAGGTGCTGGGATGGATGCAGTGCTGCTCCCCTCAGCCCTCCCGTTGTACCCTGACTAGCTGGGATACTTCCAAGAATCAGGCAATCAAATGCACAAAAACCAGCACACCTTGTCAGGCTCTGTGCTACTGTGACTGCTCAGAAGATAAAATTTGCTTCAGGGGAAGCGAAATGTTCTCTCTTCAAAAGAATCCTCACACTGGAAAAAAATAACACCCTCAAGGAATGAAAAGCAAAGGTCTACTTTAGGCATTTCCATAATGCAAACGGTGTGGGGATTAAGCACAATTAATTACAAGAGGGGGGCGCCCTGAATGCTGCTGTTTGTCCTGTACCAGTCCACCAGCAGTGCACAACCACCCAGCAGTGCAGCTTCAGGCCACGAGGCAGAGGTGGGAGGCAGGAGAGCCGCAGCAGCGCAGAGCCAGACCTTACCCTGAGTGGCAGTGCTGATGCCCAGGTGAGTCAGGTTGGCAGCAAGGTTCCCAGTGCTGTTGGAGCTGCTCAGGGCAGGGAAGGTGGATTCCTCGGGGTCTAACGGCGTGGGGAGGGGGGAAGGGAAATGGATGTTGGTCAGGTCCGGCAGGGAGCCGCCCGTGTTATGTGTAGCAGGAATCAGGGTTGTAGTGTTGTCCTGGTCAGCTGATGGAAAGATGCTAAAAAAGGGAGAGAGGAAAAAAAGCCACCGCTCAGTGGAAATTTCAGCCTGGGCAGATCTGTACAAAATCAGTTGCAAAAAGGGAGATGCACATACAGAAACATTAACTGGTCTACCGAAACTACAAGATGAGACATGGCAGCCAAGGGGACACCAGCAGTAGCTTTGGCTTATTTTACATCTGTTCCACATCTAAACAGCCAAAGGCTGTCGCAGAAAACTCAAACGTTCAAGGTACAACATTCTTTCCTAAAGATCTCGGTGCTCTCTAAAACGAATTGCTCAAAACTTACTTGATTCCTGGAACTTCACATGATTTAGGTCTTGATGACCCAGTCTAAAATAGAAGGAAGACATTTTTATAGGCAAAGATATTGCTAGGAATTAATGCTTATGACACAGTTTACTCAGAAAATCTTATTTAATTCATTTCTAAAGAAGAGCTGTTCTCCTACACACCAGTTCTGTGAAGGTCTCAAAAAGACCTGCCATCTTTTTGCTTTACCAGCCCAGCAAGGCTCAGATTTCAGTAAGAGTTTCTCCTAATATAATCAAAATGCATACAAAGAGCCCTTCTGATCTAATGTATTGTGATTTGCTGCTAAACATAGAACGTAATTCTAATCTCTGCAAGCAGTTTGCCTTGATTGGCAACATTTAGAGCATTAGTTTACCTAAATACGTTTAGGAAATGAAAGCTCTGTACTTTGAAATAGGAGATTCCTACCTTTTTAGTGTCCCATCCTTGCTTAGAAAGGGCTTTGTCTGCCTCAGAGGTGGCCTCCTCCATTCCAGGGACAGTCAGCAGCAAAACTAAAGCAAAGGGGGAACAAAGGGCAGCTTCTCAGAAATCAGTTTTCAGCTCAGCAGCATCACTGCTCCACAGAACCCCATGAGCTCCTTTCACTCAGCAGAAGCAGAGCGCTGCTCAGCACTGCAAGTCACAGCAGACACGAGGCACACAAACGCTCAGCAGCGCTTCGAAGTGTTTGCCTCCAAGTTCACCCCCTTGCAAGTAAATGGAAAAAGGTGTCCTGAGAGCTGGTTCTTCCCTCCCTCTTGCATCTTACACAAGTGACAGACATCTGTTACATCTAATGGGTGGCCAAGAGGACAAGCCCTGAAGGGCAAAACCCAAACCACATCCCTGGGATAGAGAAGCACTACAAAGCTGTCCTTCCCCACGTTTCAAGCACATTTGATCAAAGGAAACAGCAAGGTGGCAAAATACAGCAAAACAAAGTCCACTAAGAGAGATGTAACAGCAGCCCTTCAAACTGATGACGAGGAGAGTTCCATGTTTAAACCCAAATTTATGCAATACCATCCAAGATGATTTCTATTCCATGTTTTACGGCTCCAGGAGCATCTCTGGAGGAGCTGCAGTACAGTGCACACACACCTGAGCTTTGTGCATCACCCACCTCTGCTGTTTAAGGAGTATATTTCTCTCAGCTGATTTAGGAGCATTAATGGATTTCGTGCACTGACAGCAGAAGCAAAGGCCAGCAGAGGGCACCAAAACGGTGAGTGCCTGAGGGCTGTGCTGCTCCTTGGTTGTAGAGGTACCATCAGAGAGCCATTGGTAAGCAGTGCCTCTCACAGCACGCTCACAGACTCGAAACCTTGCCACTCTGTGACAGAGTTCCTTCATTCCCCCCATGGCACCATGCTTACATAAGAGCGAAACACTGCCTGCCACCCCAAGGAAGGAGGGCTCCAGGACAACAGCCCAGGTGATCTGGTGCTGCTTCTGACAGTCAGTGTGCTCTGCTCTGTAGAGCAGCCAATGCATCCTGCTGAGCAACTGCACGTGAAGAATTACACTCAAACCCTCCAGGCTTTTATGATGGATTTGCAGCTCTTCACATCAGATTACTTTGCCAGAAAAAAAAGTTCAGCAGCCTTTAATATTTCAATGCATGATCAATTTCCAGAATTTCATTTCTCATAGTATTTAATGAAGTCAACTGTGAGAAACTCCTCTGAAGTCATCAGTGTAACACTGACAAATTAGGACCCATATCCTACTGACCTCTTTTCTGCTGCATGTCCTGCGACCCTCCTGAAAAAGATTCCTGCTGCGCTGGAGTCATCGTGCTCTGGTGCAAGGCAGAGTCTGAATTTGTCCTGAGGGGAAGGCAGAAAAAAGGAAAAATTGATCATCAGTTCCTCTAAGTGAATAAAGCTCCATCTCAGATAAACGCAGCCAACGCAGGGAATCTGCATTTGCTCTGCGTTCAAAAACAAAATCTATTTTCGGTAAATACCAGACATCATTTCTTTGTGAAGCAATCAATTTACAGAAATAATTAGTTCGAGGTTGAGAAGTAATTGTTCCAATAACGGGATTGAGAGGGATACAGGAAAAGCCGTTTGCCACAGCTAGAAAATAATTTGATAAGCTCTGTTGAGGTGGAGCACGATCAAATAACTCGGCTCAGGCTGAAAGCTTCTTACACATCCTCTGGTTACGCCAAACTTTAAAGGAAAGCCTTCCTTCAACACCTTTAGAAAGATCACAGCACCTCTCACCTCAATCTTAAAGGCCGCTCATCTCAATGAATAACGACAGGAAAAATGAAATCAGGTTCCACACCCCACCAGTGATGGCAGCTCACACAACCAGCAGCAGCAGAGGGCTGTGAGGCCGTGCTGCACATCAGAGCTCTGCAAACCCCACAGCCCTGCGCTCTGCTGCGTACCAACCTTCTCCAGCTCGTGTCGGACGGAGGTGACAGATACACAGTGCCGTACGGACAGCTGTCCACGTGAGGAGGCAGTTAAGGGCAAGAACGCCTGGGTATGAAATCCATTGCTAAGGAGGAACTCCAGTTCCCCTGCCGAAGCACTAAGCTCACAGGAGATGTGCCAAGCAGACCCCTATGGGGGATGTACGGACTTTAAGAACGCTGGAAACAGAAATATTATTTTGCTCGTTGGAATATTTAAGCAGTGGGACAATCGTCTCCCTTTCCCCCTTCTGAGCACCTAATGAGAATGCAGCAGCCCTCCCGTCCTGCTTACCCCCCCCGGCCCCATCGAACCAGTGTGACCATGGCAAATTTGAAGCCAGTGAGCAATAAAAAGCCAATTCATCTTCACGACCAGCAATAAGAAACAGCGCCGAGCAGATGTTAAACGGGTGAATCAGCCGGTCATAAAAGGCGCACTGAGCTGCAGAGCATTATTCTGGTTTGGATCTGCTCAGTTCTGAAGGGAAACTCGGCTTCACAAGAACCGCTTTGTCTTTCCCATCAAAGGAGCTCAGTCCCTTCCAGCTCCGTGAGCACTGAGCAACGGCTGCAGGGCACTCAGGAGTTTGCAGAGCAGATCACGGCTCAGGAAAGCAGGTGGCAGCAACTGCATGGAGACAGGGAGCAACTCTGCTGACAGGTGAGGAGAGGAGGCAGAAGAGAACTCCAACAGCTCCAACTGGTGATCCCGGTGGGAAGGGAGGCTCTCCCTGCCCGGCTCACAAAGCAAAGGATATTTGCCTGCCGTGTTTGTCCACTGACAGCGGGCGGCGGTGCGGCGATCCCAGCCGGTTCCGGTCCCGATAAACTCGATCCACCAAACCGTGGTGCCGAGTTGTTCTGCTCGTGTCCAGCCCGGATGACTGAAAAGGAGTCTGAGAGAGATGAGCGGGGTCATAAGCAGAAAAATACACACACGAGCCAACTGCCCGGAGTTTATTTATGTCGTGCTAGAGGTTCTACCATTTTAAGCAATAAAACCCAGGAAAGATATGGATAAATGTAGGCACCTACATTTTTTTCTCCACTTTCACTACAGCCGTGGGAAGCAATTACCAGGGCCATCTCCCAGAGATCAGAGGTGAGCAGAGGCAGACTGTGGGCTCTGCCCTCGCATCCATCAGCGCTGCTCTCCAACCTTTGCATCTCTACAACAGCCGAAGTGGCAGCGACAGCAGCTGCCTGCTGCTGAGTACATTCCTGGGTGCAGCATGCAGCATGCATCCAGAAGGAACATGCTGACATCCAGAGCTGGAAGAACACGGGCAGGAGAAGATGCAGGACGAGGATGCGCAGAGATCCTAACACTCTCAAGCCTTCCTCTCACCTCTCCTTTCTGCATGATGATTTTAAGGGGACACTGACAACATTAAGGAAAAAAAAAAGAAAAAAAAAAAAAAAAGCAGTTTCCTTCCTCCTCTGTCTGGAAAAAGCTCCTGCGCTCGGCATCTCAGGAGAGGCTTTTATTTCATTCGGGTTGCACAGTGAACAGAGCTGGATGGATTCCCTCTCAATCTTATCAGCGCCTCCGTCCCACAGAGCGCCTGCTTGTCAGCAGCCCATCCCAGGACTGAGATGCCCCAGGGAGGGCAGGGAAGATGAATTCCCACGCTGAGCTGAGAGCTCTCATTTCAAAAGCTCTTTGCAGTCTGTGTGTGCAGGGAGGGGGGAAGGCAGCACCGACCTCCGCTCCCACCCCACCAGCAACAGACGCAGCTCTGGGGCCACACAGCCCTGCCCTCCCTGCCAGTGCCATCAGCTCTGCTGAGTCCAACACCACCTGCCTGGAAATCCAAAACTTCCTCCTCCATGCAGGTACTGCACAGACTCGCTGCCCTGCCTGCTGAGCCATGCAGCCCCCTGCCTTCCACGCTCGTCTTATTTCACTTCAAAGCGCCCAGCTGAGGTTGCTGAGATCTAAAAAGAAATTTGTTTTGTGTTTGTTTTGAACCGTTTTGTTTGCAGTAACTCCTTCAAGCGCCGTCCTACTATTTTTAACTCTTTTCTTTTCAGCAGCAACCACTTTGCTCCCCTCTGGACATACCCAGCCTGTATCAGTGTCCATGGATGCAGTGTCCATGCTGTAACCTGCCCAAGCAGAACATCCCCTCAGTCAGTCAGCATCAGCAGAGCACAGTGCCCTGTAACACACTCCTGACTGCAGAGCACAGATCTGCTGCAGCTCCTTAATGAGCACGACATCCTTGCACCAATACTCAGAAATCTCAAGGCAGAGCATCTCAATTTCAAGCCATTGCTTCAATCTCTGCTGAAGGTGCTAAGCAATGCTCCAGTTCTAACTGGCACCATGCAGAACTGACCCCTGAAGGCTGTGAAGCCTGCAGGTCAGCGCAAGGCCAACAGGAGAAGCACTCCCAACGCCAGTGATCTCAAATGCAAAGTGAACCAAAAGAGAAGCCGGCCTGCAGCACATGGACTGCACTGCCAGACTCACCTGCACCTTCAAAGGAAGCCAGCACGCACTGGCACACAAAGCTGCACGCAAGGCAGCTTCTCCTCAAGTTTTATGACACCACTCACACATAAAAGTACAACAAAAATCTCATCTGAGTGCAGCCGTGGCACAAGGAAGCAAGGAGTGTCCCTGCCACACCTGGCGAGGAACTTCGGGGCGATGCTGCTCTCTGGCTTTGCAGGCACAAAAATCCCAAGTCAATCCCTAACTTGCTTGAGAAAAAAGGGAAAGATGACGAAAAATAGATCCTTGGGAAAGGTACACCTGGAACTGCTTCTCTTAACTCAAATGCACTCCACGGTTTGAGATCAGAACCACAACTCTGCAAAACATGAGGAAAAAGCCCAAATACAGACAGGAAGGAATAAAGCTCAGAGCTCTACAGCAACAGTGTCCCTTTAAGATTTACTGAGGCATCGACTGAAGAAACCAAAAGCAGTGAGGTGGAAGAGGGGGAAGCGAGGAGCAGCCCCCACCACCCGCCCTGGGCGACAAGCAGCACGTGGGGATGATTCTGCCCTTCCCAACGGAGTTCAACATGCAGGCTGAGTGCACATGCTCAGAGATTGCTTAAATCAGGCCAAGACAGTGCCAAGGAACCACCGTCTGCACCAAATGAATCCCCCATAAATCATAAGGAATCACATGACAGACCACAGCGAGTCCAGAGAGGCTGCAACAGGAATTGTTATGCATGTTCCAAACCGGGATGCATGGCAACACCCGTATTTATGTGACAGACCAGAACTCCTTCCCAGCCGGGTCGGTGAATCAAATAAATACTGTGCATACCAGGAAAAGTGTAACGTGTGCTCAAATACGTATCTACCTGGGCAAACAGAACACCAGTGCTAAATACGTATCTGCACAAACCTAAATACTTGTTTACCAAAGAGACGGGAACTGCTCCAAAGGTTTCTGCCAGAGCTCCGTTGTGCTGCAATGCAAAGAACCAAGATGCTCAGACACCGCTGTGCTGTGCAGCAGCTGCCCCTGCCCCACACACTGCACAGGGATCCCTGCAGATTTCATGGCACCTCAGCTTAAAACTCCTCTCTTATCACTCACAAACGCCTGAATGCTTCCTTAGGAGAACTCTGCTAGCTTCAGAATGGAATGACCCAATGTAACAGCTGTCCCACAACAGCCAGCAAGGACAACAATGCTGAAACTCTGCTGAAAGGAACCTACAACCCTGAGCCTCCTCAGCACGATGCTGACCAAATCTGGGGGCCTTAAGGCCAGATGCCTGTGAGCAACACTGCAGACTGCAGGGTTTGCCACCTTAGGAGCTGCACTCCCTGCAGGCCACTACATGGAAGTGGCTGCTTGCCTCTCCTCTTGTATGAGATTTAAGCTCTTAAGAACATCCCTGAGTTCAGCTGCCCACAAGGACTTCAGAAAAGCACCGTCACCATCAATGACTTCTCATTAAGCCAGCCTTCATCAGAAAACCACAACCTACCACATTCATTTCTCACCACATCCTGGCAAGGTAAAAAGTGCTACTGCTCAAACAAGGTGAACTAATGCACACGTTTTGGTTACCTTGAGCACCCTAAGCCAACCAAAACAGAAATCAGGAGTCCCAGAAGTCCCAGCGTCTAATCCTATGCACTGCACACCTTCTAACACACAGCAGAACTTTGTACAAACCCTGAGCTCCTGCTCCCAGTGTCACAGCAGCAGCTGCTACACCCCTCTGCTCACTGCCAGCCCAGAGCAATCTGGCAGTTCTGAAATCTGTTTTGCCCCATTCTCCCTCTTCCTCCCCCTAAAATCCCACACGTTGTTCCCATGCAACATGCTCGCTGCCCTGGGCTGCATTCCCCAGCACTTCCTTCTATCAACCCTTGCCACATCACCTCCCCTTCTACTTCTGTTCCAAGTCTGCTGCACCTCTGCAGATCTCACTGTGAATTTGGTACCACACAACAACAGAAAAAGTCACCGCTGACTGCTGCTGAAACTGCATTGTGCCTCCCTGCTCTTGACACAAACACAACACAACCAAGGACAGCAGAACAAACATCACCAGACCCATCCACCCATCCCATACACAACCATCCTCCATCCAAAAACAAAAAAAAAGCAACAATTTTTACAGCATTGCTGCACGTTGGGGCCACGGTGCTGTGCTCTGAACCAGCAGCTACTGACAAAGCTCATAACATAGACCAGAAGCACCCCAATGAAACTCACCTGGAAGGGCAGATCCATGGCACTGTTTCCAATCTGATTCACATTTGGCAGGGACCCACCGTAGTACTGGCCACGACTCTGTCCTAGTTGCAAATACTGGGTTTTCTGCAGCTGTAACTAAAAGAAAACAAGGAGGAAAGTGTAAGGGTAACACCGTTGCTTTTCAGCTGTTTTAATTAATTCAGCTCTTCCCCGTCTCACTGATCACCACCTGCAGCAGTGTGGACACCACTCCTCCGCCACACAGAGCCTTTGTGACAGCACCCAGGCACTGCTGTGCACTCAGCAATCGCATTCCATTTCCCACAAAGAACACGGAAGCACACGGTCCTTCTGTCACCCGCTGCACTGCAAAGCAGCAGTAAAGGACCTGTATCAGTCTAACACCAAACCCAACCAGCTGGGCACACGCACAGCCAACATGTGAGGCAGTCAGATCAGCGTGTGCTTTAACCAAACACACTTGGTAGCAATCTAGGTAACGGAGATGCTTGCTTCCCACCACCAGGTAAGTGTTCTTGTTGTTCCCAGGACAGGGCAGTGACACAGGTTTTCGAGACAAAAAGAGACAGAAAAATGAAGCCACCGAAGCTCTGTTTTACAGCAATGCAGCTCAGCTTGCAGCCATCTGAACACAGCACTCCCATCCCCGGGATGCACCTTCCAAGGCGAGGAGCTGCAGCTCAGCACTGTGCCTCCATAGGGTGCCTCTCCTCCCAGCCCAGAGCAGCACGGATTTTATCAGCTGTGTTGTTCCTCACTGGATGTCAGCTGGCTGCTTCTGCACTCTGAGATGCAAGAACATTCCTTGATGGGTAGCAAAGAATTGTTTAAAGCCTGAACGTTCAGCTCTTGGACTAGGTGCAGCGTGGTTGCCAAGGCACCGTAGTGTGTACATCAACAAATCTGGTTTAGTTCCACTCAAAGAGGTCTTACAGCCTTTGCCTCTCAATGCCAGAATTTTGAAGAGCAAAGTTTGGAAAAGTACTAGAAAACAAAGGGCATCACCCAAACTGGATGTTTATATGCGTGCTTTGTTTCTTTACCCTTTCTTAAAGCAAAGGAAACGGCACTACAGCTTCACCATTCTGCCTCTGAGGCGGAGCAGAGATGTTTCCAGCAAGGTGAGGCAGCGCCACGCTGCTCGTGTTGGCAGTGAGGTCAAAGCAGAGCCCTGTGCTCAGCAGCGGTGGTGGGAGTGGGGCTGAGCAGAGCTGATGGCGACGTACGGCTCAGGGAGGAGCCAAAGGACCCGTGCTGATGGTGTGCCAGCACTTCTGGGTCCAAACAGAACACCTGAATCAGACAGCTCAGAGATCCCAGCCACAAAGCACCACCCGGACCCCCCCACCCCGCGCTTCCATCCCCTGGCACACCGTTACAACACAGGCACACAGCAGAGCAGAGGAGCACCATGCTGTTCCAGCCTCTGGCGCAGAGCTGCGATGCGCAGCGTTGGGACGAGCTGTGCTTTTTGCCTGCTCTGTCCATATGGTTTTGTTGCTACAAAAAGGCTCGCTTGGGATTGGTGCCAAACGTGAAGTAAGTGCTTCAGCAGGTGCTGGTCTCTCCTAAGGAGCCTCCTACAAGGCATGCTGGGCTGGGGGGTTGCTTCACGTCCCCAGCAGGTACGCAGCACAACGTAACGGGGAAGTCACCGCCATTTGTCTTCCAACTACACTTAAACATGGAAATGAGGAAACACGGGAGATGAAGAATTACAGCAGACCTCAAAATCGACCTGGTTGTGCAGCTCCGTGTGCCATTCCCCAGTGCTCCCTTCAATGAACGCTTTTGGAGCTCCGTGCCAAAACTTTACTGCTACCCTGTAGCACTGCAGGCTCTGTGTTTGCTTCTTCAGTGCTCACCACCTGCATTCATCCCCTGAGCCACAAGAACTCAGCGAGCTGCACTGTAGCACTGCCATCCCTGTGCTCCGTGCCCAAAGAGCTGCTGGCAGCAGAACAGCACCAGCTCTGGGCTGAGGCAGCTGGAGGGCAAAGGAAAAAGCCATCATTGGTCACAGCACCTCATTTCTGCTTAGCATGGCTGCTCCAGAGGAACGCCTCCCGTCGGACAGACCCTGACCAGAGCTCTCATTTCCCTCTGCCAGCATTTCTCTTCCTGTACTTTGAAAGGTTTTAAGCCAGAAACCAATTTGGAGCTATTTTGTCACCAAAACATTTCCGTGCATGCAGTTTTTTAGCATAGCTGTACGCGTTCCCTAAATAAAAGCATGCTGGTTCACCCCTGGCTCCATAGATCTGTAGTTCTATTACAGCCAACACGTAATCCCTGCAGCTGGGGTTACCACCTGCATGGCAGCATCTTGGCAGCCAAGGGGGAAGGGACAGCTTGATTTCCATGCAGCAAGCAGGAACCTGCAAGCAACGTTAGCAGCGCTCTTCCAGAAATTGGCTGCTATGGGAATGCATTGATACAAAATACCTCAGTGCTTCCAATGAGGCTGGGCTGCAGTTTGCTGTGCATGCAGCTGTGTGTGCACAGAGCCTTCAGTTACACAGGGAGAAGGACAAAAAGGAGAGAAACACAACCCCAACAGCACATCCAGTTTTCCTACCGCCTTTCTAAGCGTCCAAAAATATGCAGATGGGAATCAAAGGGAGCATTTATGAAAATGCAGCACATCACCTCCTCGAAATCCCTTCCCCTTGAAAAGTATAAATACAATTTGGGGCACACGGCAAAGCTGAGCGCAGAACTCAGCTGTCACCAAGGGCAGATCTGACCCTAGAACGCAGAGAAGCAAACGTCCTGCAAAATGCCCCTTTTCATACACAGATTTGACTCCCTTAAGGGCAATAAAAGGGTGGGGTGTCCTTTCAACCAAAAAAATAACGCTATCTGCTGAGTACAGGAAGTCAGATCTCACGATAACTGCTCTGCTGCTGGTTTGCAGTTTCCATTCGAAACTTTCTTACCAATTTCAGCTTCCCGCTTTAAAGGTGTTCTCTGTATCTGCCAAGGCCAATAAGCAGAAAACAAGTGCAGGTGCAACTTACAAATGCGTTACCGTGTCTGAATTGGAAATTAAGTTAGGTTTAAAGGATTAACTCAAAGCTTTAATGACCATCTTAAGGGTAAACTGTGCTGCTCCGACCTGCACAAGGCTTCTCAGCCCGCTGCTCCCAGGGCTGCAGGAAGGAGATCAGGGCTTTCCAGGGCACAGAGAGAAACTTCCTCCTGCCCTGCAAGACAGCAGAAGGGAGAGACTCCAGAACTCCCAATCTGGCTTCTTTCTCCAGCGTGAAATCCAACATGAAGTTAAACAAACCCTCCAGACAAGTCAGCACCGCGGTGGAATCCCAGTGGAAGTATTTTCTTCAAAGGGAGATTTCTTGCCATTCACAATCCTCATGTTGATAAGAAAAGCAAACAGTCTTAAAAAGAAAGATCAGTTAACGTCCACTTAATGACTCGCAGTTACTGCATTTGGACTTGGTGGGAATACAGCCATTAGAAATCACCCAATTAGCCATGCAGCCACCACATGAAGTTCTTTATGTCTGTCTCTGCGTTGCTGGAACTGCCCAGCAGTTCCCTGAGTGCTGCGGCCCCCAGCAGGGCTCAGCTCCTCCCTCACGTTCACCTTTTTCTGCTGCTGTTCTGTATTTGTACCATGAACTGAATTCTTGAAACGTTTGCTGTTTGATTTCTGAAGTTCACACACATTGGGATCATGGATTCATAGGATGGCCTGGGTCGCAATGGAGCACGATGCTCACCTGGTTCCAACCCTCTGCTGTGTGCAGGTCACCAACCAGCAGCCCAGGCTGCCCAGAGCCACATCCAGCCTGGCCCTGAATGCCTGCAGGGATGGGGATCCACAGCCTCCTTGGGGATAACAGCTCATCTATTAAAGCAGCCCCTACAGGAAAGTCGTCTAGAATTTACTTAATCAAATAAGGATTCAACAGTCCATAGGAGAGAAGCCTGATATGCTGAGGAAGGGAAAACTCTTGGCCGTGTCTCATTAACTGCATCCAAAACCAGAACACACCTAAGCAGGGGACTTTGTTCTGTTACTCCTGAATAATCAACCATTGGCGGCAGCCACGAAAAGCAAACCTGCACACAGAGGATGGAAAAAGCACGGCCAGCTTCCTCACCGCCCCTCCTGGCTGATGGAGACAGGATTCACAGATGAGTTTGTTAACGAAGAAGAGAATCCCTCGCAATTCTTTCTGCTCTGGGCTGTCACAATCAGGAAGAAGCTGCAGCGAGCCAGCTTTTGAAAGCAACTTATTTCCTGCAGTTTCAAGTACCGATCCAACAGCAGCAGAGGATCCAAACGCACAGCTGTTCCTCCCAGGAAGACTGGTAAAGGAAATGAAGTCTGAAGTGCAGAGGAAAGGTATAATCCGCAGTGATAGCAGCTGCTCTGTCTGCGCCACTTGGGACTTAAAATATTCCATCATTATAACACAACATTTTGCAACGGGTTTTTTGAGTTTTAGTGTGTTTTTCTTGTCATGAAAGCAAAGATTTTAACACTGGCTGGGAACAGACAAGTGCGGACAAGCGGAGAGAAAGTTTCCCTTGTTGCTGCTGCCAATCTCCTTTGGCCTCCCGGCGCTGTTACCGGCCTGGTGCAACAGACACTGCGGAGAAGAGCACTACCAAGCCAAAACAGGAAGCCAAACGTCTACTACAAACTAACTGAAAATCACCACGAGAAAATCCAGACGTGTGCTATGAACCGGATCTGAACCCAGGCTTCTAGAACTGCTACATCATTGTTTACTCCTCCATCACTCTAACTGTCACTTAAGTCACTTGCAAGTATTTGTTCCATTATCACACTGACGTTCTGGGACACCAACAACACAAACAGCCCTGCAGGCCAGCCCAAACGTAGCCAATAATACAAAAGATATTTGCTGGTTTTTTGTTTGTTTTTTTAAGAACCGAGATCTGTTGCAATGCACTGGAATTCAGCAGCCACAGGAGCACAAGAGCTGCATCTCAGCCACACCGCAGGGCTCCACAACAAACCCCGCAGAGCGGAGCAGCCTCGGCACCGCGCTGCCTTTCGGACGGCTGTGCTTCACCAACACACATCCAAGGACTGATGGTTTTCTGGTTTTCCTTTCGTA